TTCCAAAGATCATACAAATAAATAACATTAATATACAAAATGAATTTCCTCGAATTTACCAAAAAATTGGGCTGTTTGAAAGAAGGCACAAATATATATGAAAAACGAAAAACCAAATTTCTGTAAATATCATCACGTACCATACGCATTAAAAGAAGTTGAAGGAGATTTAGACAGATTGCTAAAAATAGGAGGAATAGGAAAAAATGAATCATTCAATTTATGCATCACCCATATTAATTGTTCAAAAGAAAGATCAAACATTACGAATTTGCGGGAATTTGAAAGGACTATAAATCAAAATATTAATATTGACTCATACCCAATACTAAGAATCCAAGATTATGTAACAGTTTTGGAAAGGAGAATAATTTTATATTGGACCTCTCCGATGCCTATTTTCAAATTAAATTATTGGAAGAGTCACAAAAATATCTTGTATTCAATACTCATATAGGATTATTTAAATATAGAAGACTACCTTTTGGTATATCGTCTTCTTCAGCAATATTTCAACGGGCCATCGAGAATTTATAGGTTTTAGCAGCTTGTTATTTGGATGATATTATAATAACTGGAAAAAATAAAGAGAAACACGAAACAAATTTAAAAAAGGTACTGAAATGTCTAGACAAAAATGGTATCAAAAGATAGAAAAATGTAAATTTTTCAAACAAAATTTCGAGTACTTAGGACATATTATACCAAAAAACTGGATTACAACTACAGAAAATAATACTGAGGCAGTAAAAAAAGCACCAGAACCAACAAACTTAAAAAAATTACAGTCATGTCTAGGATCAGCAACATACTATTCAAAATTTATTTCAAATTTTGCAGACAAAATTAAACCATTCAAATTATTAGAAAAAGCAGTAGTTTGGAGTGGACAAATGAATGCAAAGACGCGTATAAAAAATAAAGAAAGAAATAAGTAGTACTCCAATATTACAAAATTGTAATCCGAAATAACCCATTATACTAGCAACAGATGCGCAGCCATAGGAATTGGGTAAGTATTATCACATATAGAAGGGGAAAAGGAGAGACCAATTGCATTCGCCCCAAGCTAAATACAGCCAAAAAAAATTATAGTCAAATGGAAAGAAAAGTTCTGCCATCATATTTGAGGTTACAAAATTTAAAGAATTTATATAAAGAAAAGGTTCAAATTACAAAGAGACCACAAGCCATTAATGAGTTTATTTCATCCAATAAAAGATATACCAACAACATCTACTGCCAGAATACATAAATGGGCTTTATTATTAGCAGGTTACCAATATGAAATAGAATTCAAAAGTATTGATTACCTATACAGGGAACCCAGGCGCGTACGCAGCGGGGGGGACAGGGGGACAAATCCCCCCCCCCCCAAAGCCAAAAAATGCAGATGCCGGATTATATTTTTCAAAAATATTATTGTTAATATTAATTTATATTTGTTAATATTTATTCTTATCTCATATATACATATATATATATATATATTTTATTTATCACATTCATCTACTAAGTTATTTTATCAATCAATTTCGATTTCAAGTTTTCCTTGGCGTAATTTACCTATTATTTTCAAATTTTAGTGGCGTAATATTTATCTAAATTTCTAATAAAATAATAATTATCTCTGAAACTCCTTGTCCAACAGGGAGAAAAAAATTGCAAGCTTGTCCAACGAGATCGAGTCTCCGCCACAGTAACAGCTATTTTGGAGTTAGAAGAGCTGATTATTAATGCTATTACTGAAATATCACAATGGCTTGAAAGAAATATTTCCTCAGAAGCAAGAAAATTATTGGATTCAATACTTATTCCAAATTTTTTTTCTCATTAGAATGTATTATTTAATTATACAACTATTTTATGTAATACTTTTAAAAACATAACATTGACTTGATTAAGAAGATGAGAATAGCGGAGAGCATTTTATTAGAACTCAAGGAAATAGAGCTAGTGTTGTTGAAGAATTTCATATTTTATATGTTATTGTTGAGTCAAAAGCAGAGCTATACGTGTTAAATATTTGTCCCCCTCGACTTGCAGCAAGCAAGCTCATCATCAAAACATTAATATAGGATCAGTAGAAGAGTATTATAAAACAAATGTCCCCTCTCCCAACCTTTTTCATATGGTGATAGAAAAAAAATATAAATATTTGTTATATTTTTATCATGAAGATGTTAAAATATCTTATGATGCCTTATTAGCTGAATAACTATGATTAAAAGATTAACTATGGTTGATACAGTCCCAAAAAATGCTATGGATGCTTTTTATTTCAAACACATTTTAGATTAGTTATATATATATTAGCAGCTCTTTAGTAAACTAATGAGAGAACATTCACTTTTTTAAGAAGAATAACAGAGCCTTGCAGAGGTACCATTTGCAGGACCAGGCCCAGATTTTATTTTAAAATTTTTTCCGGCCCGGGTTTTTTTAAAAAATTTTCAGGCCCGGCCATGCTGGCTTAGCCCGAATTTTTTAAAATAAATTATATTTATTTTTGATATTTATAGCTAATAATGGCGATTTCAAATATTTGGTTTTAAAATATACAACTCGGCTCGATATTTTTCTTAAAAATTTTCAGGCCCGGCCATGCTGGCTTAGCCCGAATTTTTTAAAATAAATTATATTTATTTTTGATATTTATAGCTAATAATGGCGATTTCAAATATTTGGTTTTAAAATATACAACTCGGCTCGGATATTTTTTCTTAAAAAATTTTCAGGCCCAGCCCGGGTGTTTTTAAAAAAAAAATTACGAGCCCGGCCCGGGTATATTTAAAAAAATTAAAATACGGTCCGGCTCAGGGGCCGGGCCTGCAAGTCTGTGAAAAACATACCTATGAAATACAACATCTGAAAGTAAATTGAATGATTTGGATCTTTTGAATATTCATAGACATTTAACGCCAAGCAAGGATTGATAATTGAAAAATTAGCTCAAAACATACAAAATACAATTATTCCTAAGAAACTTTTTGTGTATTAATTTATATTTACAACATTTAAATTTTTTATACTTTATATATTTTAAAAGCTCAAAAAATTCAAATTTCAATTTTGGGTCATTTAGGTGATTCATATCGTGGGTTATATTCACTTTATATTTTATGATTCACATTTAAATGCCGGTTTATATATATAATTTTTTTAATTCACATTAGTTTAAAATTGTGTATTAGAAAAGTTATTAATCCTAATAAATTTAGGCTTAGTATTTTTAATTAAAAATATTATTTCTTAAAAAATTTATTATCCCCCCCCAGACCAAATTCCTGCGTACGCGCCTGAGGGAACCACAATATCAAAAGAAGAAACATTAAATCAGATACAGATAAGAGAACAAACACCTTAATGCAAACGAAATTGTAAGAAAAATAATGCAAGATGAGGTACTCACATAGTTTACAGATACAATACGGATAAGAGTGGAAATCACCAGAGAGAGGTTGTTTACTGTGGAGAACTAAATGATAATACCACAAAAATACCGAAACAACGTGTTAGACATGATACATTAAGGGCATATTTGAATGGTAAAAATAAAGATGAGAGCAAGACAATACGTGTGGTGGCCTAATATATACCAAGGTATAGAAACAAATATATAGAATGCCAGGAACAACACTATGCCTCATAAGACATCAATTCAAAATTGGCCAAAACCACCACACCGGGTAATATTGATTATGCGGGACCATTTTCAAAATCATAATTGGTTGGTAATGATAGATGCTAGCAGTCGCTGGCCTGAAATAGTTCCCATTACTAGACAACCACCGAAAGCACGATATAAATATTAAGAAATATATAATTGCCAGATTTCCTAAGATAATCGTTTCTGATAACTGGCCACAATTCAGCAGTAGAAAATTTAATGATTTTTGCGAAAAAAACGGAATATATTTAGTGCACGGAAGTCCCTACCATCCTCAGACTAACGGCATCACTGAACGTTTAAATTGAATTTTTAAACAGACCATAAATAAAAGAAACGAAGAGGATTTGAAGACCAGTTTAACTTTTTTTCTCTACAATTATATAAGTACACTGGGGGCAGAAAATGGACATCCTTCCGAAATACTACTAAAAATTAAACCTAGAGGATTGTTAGACCAAATATTCGAGCGCGGGAACAAAAAAGAGATGTTAGAATATTACACTCAAAAATTCGAGTTAAATGTAAAGGTGTGTTCGCGCATTTACAATAATAAAGAGAAAAAAAATGGGAAAAGGCCATTATTAAAAGCATAATAGAGGGTAAAATTATTATACGTCATACTGATCAATTAAGGAAAAGAACCGAAAATATATTAACCGAAGAGTACGGAGTAGAGGAGATAGTAAACAAAGAGGACGTAGTAACCAATAACGATGAAATGAACCGAAACGAGAAAATGACACAAGTCAAGAAGCTAAAGGAAGTATAACACAAAAGTTAGAAACTATAACAGGTCAAGATCGATATCCCAAAAGAATACGGACGAAACCTATTAGATTTGGGATAAATGTTATGTATTAAATTGTTTATTTTATTATTTTTGTAAAATGTTTATTTTTATTATTTTAGCATTATCTTATGAATTTGCATTCACAAAAAGAATGGGATTTTATGATAAAATACAATAAAAGATATATATTATTTGGCTAAATTACTACTAATATATGTTAATGCATAAATATCTGTCAAAAATACTACAAATATGAACTAAATATACCTTAAGAAATATATAAAATAATCCAAAACAATGATAATATCGAATACCATTTTCTTTGTAAATCGGATATTTAAAAAAAATTAAATCCATATTATATAATAGTTGTGTATCTCATTTTTTAATTTTGCCCGGCGTATTAGTTGATAAATTAAATAGGATAGGCGTACAAATATTAGATTTTTTTTACAAGTCTTGTAATATTAATTTAATCAATAAATATATTTATTCATTTCTTTCACGTGAATTTTTACAAATTCAAAATCACAACAGTGGCGCACTTGGCCAGAAGTATTGGGTTATTATAGACGCAACGGTCTTTCCTATTTCTTCAGATATTTCATGTACATGCTATGGGCCCTCGTGTTTTCCTCCTTAGCCGTTATGTTGGTCAAAATGTTCGCCCCGTACGCCTGTGGATCCGGGATGCCTGAAGTTTGCATACTCATATTTATAATAAAATTATTATTTGATTGATATTTTAATTTAATATATCCAACTAAGTTTTTTTTTATTAAAGGCTTATTGTATCATATTTTTATACTTTGTGATATTTAATTACCGATGGATATATTATAACAATGAGTTTACCACAACATCGATGACCACACAGATTATTTTCCTATATAATTATTGGTCGTAATGTTTAAAATTTTAATAGAAAATTTGATATTATGCTACAGTTTTTTTTAAAATGCAATATGACCCATTTTTAATACATATATATTAACGGAATCATTCGCTCGGTTCCGATCTGCAATATATCTATCCTGTAGCACGAAAACAGCTAGTTATCATTAGGAAAAAACGGATCCTTGATAGATTCGAACTCAGTTTGGAGTGTAAAGTGTTTCCTCAGTCAACGCCTATAGCTACTGAGCCATAGACGCTACTCGAAAACAACTATTTCATTTTTATTTTAATTACCCATATATGGTACTGTCGATCCAAACAATAAAACGTAAATAACCTTTTGGTTTAAGCAAGCTTACTAAACGGTGAGTTCTAACATTAACCATTATAGCCTTTATCAACTTTTATGCACCCCCTTAATTTTTTAATACAACTTTAATTATAGTTTTCTAACAATCTTTGTGCAAGGATCAAAAATATAAATCCAAAAATAGTAATAAAGTATTTTTAATAGTGATCTCCTAAATTTAATTTTTTTTTAAAAAAAACTAAAATAAAATCTTCAAAGTTATGCGTTTATAAGATAAAATATTTCTAAATTATACTAAGATATTGATTAAAATTGATGTCACATGTTGTTAAAATATTTTCTGCAATTACTATACACATTTAAAACAGATCAAAACAATCCTCAGTGGTTTTATAATAAGGGGCTACTTGGGAAAATGGACGCTTATCATAAAAACTGTGACCATAATGTTGGGTGTCAGTTCCGGTCTTACCATGGGCAAGGAGGGACCTATGGTTCATATAGCTTGTTGCATAGGAAACATATTTTCTTACCTTTTTCCTAAATATGGGAAAAACGAGGCTAAGAAGCGAGAAGTAAAAAAAAGTTATTTATTTATAGAGAAGAACCGAATTGCAGTGTTTTGCAGATTTGTTGGAAAAGATTTATTTATTTTTTTAAAATTTATTTGTAAATTATGCCTTCCATCATATCTGCACAACACTGTAGAAGGGTGGATAGGAAATGATATCAGTTAAAAAGGCCAACCTTTATTTTCTCCCAATTTATACCTATTGAAAATTAGCCTGATAATTTTTTATATATTAAATTTTAAGTAATATTTTATTTTTTTTATTGTTTCTTATATTTTTAATTTGATAGATATTATCGGCGGCCGCTGCAGCTGGTGTATCCGTGGCTTTTGGTGCGCCTATCGGTGGAGTTTTGTTTAGCCTTGAAGAAGTTATAAATATTTTTATATTTACTTAATTTAGTTTCGAAAACCCCTATTTACCATTAATGGTTGTCATTCATGATTTTCTCAGCTAATGTAACAAAAAATAATATATAAATTATTTTGGTACATATTAAGGTCTATTTGATGTTCACTTGGGTAAAATCCAAATAAAAGGATTCTCTGTCACCCCAAGAAGGGCACTAGTACTATGGGATAGCGTTCACTGTTTGGCAGTAATCCAGGTCCATCTAGTTGTAGAGATGACTGTACCCCTATAAGTGAAAGCAATCACATAGAGATAATGTTTATTATAGATTTGAAAAATATGTTTAAAGTTGATAATTCAAATTTTTATAGGGTTCCTTAATAAAAAATTGTTCCAGGCCGGGTCGGATTACTTGTAATAAATATATTTTACGGGCTAGGTAAAGATATAAAATTTGGACTGCCCGGTTAAAGCCTGCAAATATTTTGTTAAATAAAACAATAGAGTTTTGTTCAATTTTTTAACGATTTTACTCTAGATACTGGGTAATATGGCACACTTAGGTAAAAAGCTGCATTTTTTTTTATTTTGTAGGTAATTTACCTATAATCTGTTTTGCATTTGTTTTAAATTTTTATGATAAAAATTCAAAACATCAATTATTTTATCAAGGTCTTCACCACAGTGAACAGTAAGATTACAATTCATAAACCTTTTATTTATTTTTATGAATTTGGGTATACTCTAAATGTATCAATTTTTACAATATATATATTTTTTTAAATATTAAATAGAAAAGTTACATTTTAATCAAAATGTCTAGTTCTATTTTATTTAAATCGTGAAATAAATACTATTTTTATTATATATTTGAGTGTGAGATTAAAAGAGAGAGGTGCTGTAGGGTCATCATTTATTTATTTTTTTAAACTCGCCACTATTGAAATTAATTGAACAATACTATACAATATTTTTAACCTCTATCTAAGTTATTCACTCACAGATGTATCGTTATTTCTCTACCATTACCATGAACAGGCCCTGGCAATAGGGTAAATTACTTCCCAACATTGGACGTCCATTCCACTGATAAGCTCCTTTGAATCAAATATGGAATTATTCAAAACATCAAATATTACAATGCATTATTTAACAAATCTTGCATTGTATTTTTATTTAAATTATTAATTATAATATCTAGATAAGTTACTATTTCCCAATGAAAACTCTCTGGCGATCCTTCTTCTGTGCCATGGTAGCCGCTTTCGTTCTAAGATCCATTAACCCATTCGGAAATGACCATTTGGTTTCGTTTTACGTTGATTACAATAAACCTTGGTTCATGTTTGAGCTCGTTCCCTTTATTTTACTCGGGGTTTTCGGGGTATTTTCATTTTCTATCTAGCAATTATTTTTTTTAAAGGAGAGAAAAAGAAGGAAAGGTTACAAGTTTTAAGGGGAACATAAATAATGCAAAGTTAAAATGTAAGCAATTTATAGCTAGAATTATACTAATATATTCGAGAAATTTAGTAGTGGCATCTTTGGGGTCGGGAAAAAAACGTGCTTAGGGTGTCTAGATTTAATTTGAGCCAACCTACGCCACTGGAAATAATTAAAACCTAAATTATGATAATATATATACCTATTATTATTCATATTATTATTCATATTATACCAATTATTAAGTGCTGTATTTTTTTTAAAAAAAAGGGAATTATTGGTGCCTTTTTAATTAAAGCAAATTACTATTGGTGTAAATATAGGAAAACCTCGAAATTAGGCAAATATCCTTTCTCCGAAGTAATTAATATACGTTTATTGTTAAATTATATATACATTGAAATTCTCAAAAACGATCACTTACCTACAATAATCCTATTTAAAAATGATAACCTCTCAATGTTGAACCAAACCCACCCACGGTCACCTTATGAAGGTTTTACTGTATATTATCATTTTAATTTAATCATCGGTCGGTAGGTTAACACCAATAACAATCTTGATTTTCAATTATGAGATGGTATATTTTTAATTTTAATCCAATTCAATATTTATTAAATTGCTTATTTTTTTAAAGATGTTTATTGTGATCTATATTTTTTTATTCGTCAAACAGGTGCTCCTTGTTACACTGATAACCGCTTTCAGTTGCTTTCCTAATCCTTATACCCGGTTTGATACTTTATTATTATTTGAAATGCATTATATTAACTTTAGATACTATTTTTTTTAATTATTATTGATATTTATTGAGCCCGAACTCTTACTCCCTAATATTTCAAACCTACTTGTTCATTTAAATGGTCGGCTCAGTCTTCGAAGCCTGAGTCTAAGAAATCGCGAAAATTATTTAATCATTAGCAATTATTTATTTTTTAAAAAAATTTAAAAGAAATTTTGTTTTCATTATTTATCTTTTTACTAAAGAGAATCCATGAACGATCTTATATCGCAATTGTTTCAAGATTGCAGTCCTTCTAATCAAATCGATTTGTGGTAAAAAAAATGATTATTTTCTATTAATGAGAGATTTTTATTTAAATAAAATACTATAATATCTATTATTTTGAAAAATTATATATATAGTAATAATAACAACAACTTGGGGAGTAATCTATGGAAGATACTTCTAGCTTTGCTCTTCAGAACGATTTTATTCATATTTACCTTTGGCATGAAAGTTATTATTTTTGAACTTTTTATTATAGTCATTATATTTAAATTACATTTTATTTTCAGTTATTTAGAACTAATATCCCCCCCCCCCTTATTATATAATATACCAATCGTCAATATAACCTGTTCTGGACATTTATTCTATATTTCAGATATTTAAATTACTATTATATAAATTTAAAAATTTTATATATTCCTAATTTATGATACTATTATATTAACATATTTCAGATTCCGGCGGGGTTATTTATCCCCAGTTTGGCCATCGGTGCATGCGCTGGTCGAATTTTTGGGATAGGCATGGAACAACTCGTTTTGTAAGCTATTTGAACAATGACATTTTTATAAGTGCCTTATTAATACTGATAACTCCTTTTATTATAGTTCTCACTCATTTATGTACAATATGCTCCATAAAGTAGCCACTAAATGGCGGTATGGGGAAAAACTGGCATTTTCTTACCCAATTTTATTAAGGAACTCCAAAATAGTAAAAACTAAAGGAAGAAACAAAATATTTGATAGTTCCTGTTTTTAAGTTTTGTAATTAAAAATCCGGGTCTTTTGACATTGATCTGGTCTTTTATTTTAATATTGGACTAGTCTTTGACCTTCACTAAATTCTAGTAATATTATTTTCAAACATGATATTTTATAGTTTTTTTTATTTAAAAAAAAGGAATTTTAGGTGTCACTAAATTCTTGTATTGAATTATATATATTTTTAAATAAATCAATTTCCCCTCATACTCAGAAAACACAACAATCTTTTCATATTTAAGGACGTTTGCAAAGCAGAAAATCTATGCATCACTCCAGGTCTTTACGCCATGGTTGGCTCCGCCGCCGTGTTAGGCGGAGTAACCCGTATGACTGGTAATTTTATTTTTTTTATTAGTTTGTATTAAAATGGGATATTATATTTTTGTAAGAAGCCACTCTATCTCCAAAAAAATACACTACGACTAAAAAAACCTATTTAACAAATATCACCTTTCTAGTATGCCTATTTTCTTACCTCGTTACATGTAACAATAGTTTATTATATTTATTCTTTCATAATATCCTCAAAAGAAACCCCCTGAAATATTATCAATTGAAGCAGTGGCTAATTAAAAGTTGCAAGGGGAGTTTTATCTCCTACCCCCAAATTTCCACTATAGTTTTTCATTATACATTTATTTATTTTTGAATACATAGTATCCCTGGTTGTGATTATGTTCGAAGTAACTGGCGGTAGCCAATACATAGTACCTCTAATGATAGCTATAATGACTGCTAAATGGGTTGGGGACGCCCTTTGCAGAGAGGGCATATATGAAGCTCACATTCACCTTAATAACTATCCTTTCTTGGATTACAAGGAGGAAGAGTACCCTTTCACTACCGTAGCTGGTCAAGTTATGAGGCCCAGGTATATATTTTTTAAGATTGAACATTTGATAAATTTCGTTGTGGGAAAAAATTTGCCAAATATATATATTAATAACAAAGAATTATTTCTTGTCGGAATATGTTTCTGATTAAATATTCCTAAGATTCCCAAATTATTGGGGGAATAACTCTAAAAAGTATTGACTTTTGAGGAAAAGAATTGTTAGTTGGATCTAAGTCCCCGAGTGAGATATAATTGTATTTAAAGCCTCCCACAAATATCCTCTTTTGCATTTCTTATTACGCCCACCAAATAAATAATAAATAAACCCTTTATATTGAATTTTCTATCTTAAAGATTTTCTAATTTAAAGATTATTAAAGTTTATTCTATTCCTGGGCAATTTAGATTTGAGCTATTTCAATTCATTACTTATGATGTTTTACATAAATAAAATTAACATTAAACTTTTACAGGTTTTTTTACAATGATTATTTTTTATAAGAACTTTAAAAAATTTATAAATTTTCTCTTCATTTTCCTTACTTACTATATATTATAATGCCTATTTTTTCACAAATATCATTTTTCAAACATGCTCCCTCCCCACTCTAGGCGTAATGATCCCCCTTTAATAACTTTGACTCAGAAGGATTCGACCGTCGACGATGTAGAGAACGTTTTGAAAGATCATGACTACAATGGGTACCCCGTTATCGTCTCCAAAGAATCTCAAAATCTAGTGGGATACGTCGTCAGAAAAGATTTGAAATTGGCTTTGGGTTCAATTTTTTTTAAAAAAATCAAATTAAATATAATATAATCTAATGCTAGTATCGCATGAAACAAATTATTGCCTTTTTTTATTCATTTCGCAAATATTATTACAGAGAAAGAGAGCCCATTAACAAAAAAAATATCATATTTTACAATTTCTTTTCACTATTGAGACTGAGATTTAATTCCTAAAATAAAAAAACTCTAACAGTTATTGTGAAAATTATATACTATAAAAAACTCTACCAGTAGTACAACGCTTTTTTATAACTCACATAATTAACCAACATAACTCTAAAACTAAATTTTTAACTCCAAATTTTACTGATTAAATATATTTAAAAAAAAATAGGTCATAAAAGTCCTAATAATTATAAAATCTAATCCCTTTTATACTTTTTTGGGACAAGGAGATCACGAGTTCTACACGTGATATATAAAATCAGGCGACTATTTATAAATTTGATTAATATTAAACAAAATAATTTTTAAAAATAAATAATCTATAATAATAATATGACAATTATAAAACTACAAAAACAATTTTTAATGTTTCTATATTATCGAGTTTACATTCATTTGAGCTGTTTAAAATATTTTCCTAACGGTTCAAAGTGCTCTTATAAATTTTTCTTATCTCACAATTAAAAGCGAGTTTAAAACGGGTCTCTTAATAATTTTTAAAATTGAGGTGATTAATTTTTAAATCTAATATCCAATTTATGCTCATGTTAAAATTAAGCCTAAGAGTTTGTTTAAAACTATTGTTTAAATTGCTGCAAACTATTTTAGCTTTTTTTAACGTAAAATAAAAAGTTTATCAATGTAAACGATAACATTTGAAATTCATTATACTACAAGATTGGGTAGCCAATATCGATCTGTAGTTTTTTTTGTAAAATTTTCCTATATTGCTTCTAAAGAAAATGTTTGTCTTTTTTACAATGTGATATATAGGAGAAGCTAGAAAAACACAGCATGGAATATCTAAGAATTCTATTATCCAATTTACGGCAGAACACGATAATGACGAGGACGCATTAAACAATATGATTTCTAGCGATATTCGAAATGATTTTACGTCTACGTATCTTAAGCTCAACAAAATCGTCGATTTGGTTTCTGAAAAACTAATTTAATTTTTTATCAAATTATGGAAAACAAACCATTTTTTAAATAAGAAATTTATGATAAAACAAGAATTTTTAATAGAATTTTGACAGGCAGACAGGCCACTTTTCGAGGTTTCATAATTTTTCTACAATATTCTTCCTTTTTTGTGATTATAATTTTTCATTATTTATATATTAAACAATTGATAGTCACCCATAACAATCACAGACCAAACCCCTATGGAGACGGTAATTGACATGTTTAGAAAATTAGGACTTCGGCAGATATTGGTCACTCATAATGGGTAATGCATATTCTCATTATTTTCTCCAATTTTTAATGAAAGAATTTAAATTTCTTTATATATATCCCGATTTTATTTTCAGGAAATTGTTGGGGATCATTACGAAAAAAGACATTTTGGTTCACCTAAAACAGATCAGTAAGATGGAAAATCAACCATTATTAGACCAATGCTGATATTTGTGTAACTTAACATTCTCTCCTTAAGACATTTATGCTAAGAGGATCGCAAATTGAAATTAAGGGGGCTTGCTTTATTGATTATCATATTTATTATTTAAAAAATTGTCAATAATAGATATCAAATATTGTAAACGGATCAATTTAATTAATAATTATTCAAACTTATTCTGCTGACAAATTATTTTTATAGTTGAAGCCCAGTTAAATACAAAAGGCCTAATCTAATTATTTATTATTCCACTTATTTATTTTACAATTTTTTAAAAATATTTTATTATAAATTTTTTCAAATATTTATGTGTAATTCCAAAGTCTCTTATCATTCATTATATAATATATTGGTAAATATATTTGACCTTGTAATTTTATATACAAATATGAACCTTTAAATATAAATAATAAAAAATATCATGCTTAAAATATTTGCATAATTTTTAATTTGATATTATACTTAACCTTCTAATTGAATGATATAACTGAAACAATGGTGTTTTGGAAAATATTTTAAGCATGCAATTTTAATCGCCTCACAACGCCACAGATAATAGATCATATTAAATTTGAAAGATGCCACCGCTAATTCAATTCACTCTAAAAAAATAATAGCATCTCTTGTACTCTTAACGTTAAATACAAACTACCTTAATTGACTGACTCCAATAATAAAATATCTTATCTTTCGCCAAAAAAAATGCATTATAACCATTTATTCTTATGTACAAATTTTTATTTTCATTACCATAAAATGTTTATTATTTTATAAATAACATTTGGGGGAAGAAAAAAAAAACTTTAAAATTAAACGTTTGGTTATTTATAAAAAAAATATTTATTTTGATTAAAAAATTTTCTTGTTTAATTCAAAATAAATTTAAAACATTGGCGAAAATATAAAAAAATTCTGATATAATATAAATTCAATGTGTAGAGCGAATATAATCCATTTGTATAAAAATAATAACATTTTTGCACTAAAATATTTTTTTTTCAAAATAATGAGAAATGTAAAATATTAATATTTCTAATACTATTTTAAAAAAAATGTAACATGTAAAAGGATATTATGTTATATAATATTTCGTGTATAAAACACAAAATGTGTAAACAAAGATTGCAACATTTCTAGTATACAGATTAAACTCTCAATTAAATTTTGATATTAGGAGATTTTATAAACACCAATATGGATTATAAATCTATACAATTGTCTCAGGTAGTGACAATGATCTTGATAAATTATAATTTTACCCAAAAAAAGATTAATATATATCTTAAAGTTTCCTGAGAATAAAATATTCAAAATTTTAGAGTATTACAAAAAATTAAAGCTTAATTTGAAGAGCAAAAAAAAATTATTGCGCTAAACGGCGGGTGATTTAAAAGAGCATTTAGGAGGAAAAATAATTGTCATTTTGTTAATTTCGAGTTCGCAAAAAAAAATATATTTATAAAAAAAATATGAACAAAATATTTTAGAAGAAAAAAAACATAATTATGATTTTAATTATTATGTTAAAATGGGATAAAAATATGAAAGCGAATTATATTTAAAGCATTAAATTTTAAAAATAGATCAATATAATTGTATGCTAGTAAGTTGCACTTAAAATCACTGATTTTATTTTCCAACGACCAACCTTAAAACCCTTATCAGATATCGTTTTCATATCACTTCTAAATCGAATTCGCGTATATAAATATGGTATCGTTTTTTAGGCACTGAGTAGTTTTATCATTATTTACTTTTGATTAATAACAACATTGTCTCCATTCTTAACATTCAATTTTTTTCTCTCGTCTCCTCCATCTATAGCCGAATTTACTCCAGGACTTTCCAGATTTTCTTTGCTGGGTACCGGTGTTTCAAGGAGTAATTGATCAAACGATTTAGGTTCTGGTCCTCCGTTTTTCTTCTTCATTTCATCAAGTTTTATCCCGCCCATAGCCTTTAAGCCATTTTTACCATTTTTTATTCCATTTAATCGGATAATATCTTCCTTATTTTTGAGCTCGTTTTTATCGAGGTATATCGAATGTGATGGCTGATCAAGGTTATTTAATTTATCATGATCATTTTCCATGGCTTCAAGATCCAAGGGCGTAAGGAGCTTGTTAACATTGTGGCACTTTTCAGTTTCGGCAATAATCCCTTTTTCTATAGGGCTTAGTTTTCTAAGGTGATTTTGAAGAGAGAGGGGCAAGTGAGACATTCGCCGAGAGTAAGTACTACCTTTAGGTCGACCATTTTTAATATCCTCTTGATCGTCTAGGAGAGCTAGAGTCTCGAACATTTTTGTCAGCACCCAAAATATGCTGTATATTAAGTATAATGTAAAATTATAGTGATTTATAAGGAAATGAAAATATTTTAATAAATAAAATAAAAATAGTGATAGGAAGATATCTATTAATATGAGTGAACGTTCATAAAAATAATTTTAATATTTTAACGGGAGGTGGGGGGAGGGGAGGGGTTATGAAGCAAATGCTTCTTTAATAAATTAAATCGTACGAAATTATATCAAACTATTTCCCTCCACCTACTTATTCTTTTTACTATTACAAATTTATGGAACAAAAATTTTAAAAACAAATAGAATTCAAAATAAAATATATTTTTTCATTTAAAGTTTAAAAATAAATTATCAATTTTTCAACTTCATTCGTTATACAAGAAACTGAAAATAAAATTGAAACAGATTATATAAAATATAATTTCAAAAAACATTGTAAAATTTGCAATCCTTATCCTGACTCGAAACTATGATCAAATAACTAATTCAGATTAAAGTTTTAAATAAAAATTGATACATCCCAAATTCAGAATCGTAGTAAAGCTCCAAAAATTGAATAAAGGATTTTCAATAAAAAAAAATTCTATAAAATAAATTGATTTTTACGTTTTTTTCGTCGTTTTGGTTATCAAATCGGTGGGGTCTTGATTTGAAATTTCTAACTCCCTAACTTTTTCGATAAGACTAGGGCAAAGAGTTCTTTGAAATCTAAGATGCAGATTTTTTAAGAAATTTCATTTTAATTAAAACTTGTTATTTTTAAAATAAATATCTAATCATTTTATTCTGTTCTTTAAAAAACTAAAACGAATATTCAACGGTGATTGCGAAAATTTTAAACAGAATTTTGGAAGGGAACCAATCTAAATGAGTTAAGATAATTAAGTGGTCAATTTTGGAGGTTTCACGGTATAATATAGATGAAAAGATTTTAAAAAAACCTTTTAAAAATCTGATGAGGGAAGGTAATATAAAATAATTAAATAAAAATATCTGGTTATTAGATTAGAAAATTTAAAAAAAAATGTCATCCATTAATAAGCTACTCGGTGTGGATATGAAATGTAAAGTTGAAAGGGGGGGGTCTTAATCTATATAAGGGTACAATGGTTTAGTAAGGGTCAGAAATGTGCCAATTTATTTGAATAAACGTAACTAGTTTTAATGAGAAATAAATAAATTCCAATTGTTTTATAAATTTAATGAACATAAATAAATTTTATAGGGTGCTTACACTTTGATTACGAAGTCGGGGAATAGTGTTATTAGTGGTATGATTATGATACCAAACCAATATACGAATGAAGAATATATTAATGTTACCTAAAAAAAATTATATTTTAAATTTACTTTTATTATTTTTAACAAAAAAATGGGTATGTTTTGGTCAAAACATAGAACGATTATTATAAGAACATTTTTAATTATGAGTTTGGCTGAAAGTGATCAAGATAGAGGTGATCAACATGTTTTGATGGAATATTATTATAATTTATTATACACATAAAAATTTAGATGAAAATAGAAAAAATGGTAAAAAAAACATTCTTGATCTTCAAAATAATAAAAGGTTAATATAAATAGAAATTAAATATAACACATTATAATTATGCCGATCTCAATCATAATATAAGTTAGCATTAAAAAATTATATAAAAAATAAGATTGTGTGCATTTCATTTTATTTTTAAAGGGTAGGTCTTAAAAAAAATTCATATAATTATCAATAATTTAATTTTAAATTGGTACTTCTCCACACATCTCTGATGCAATAGGTATCCAGGGCCAAATGAAGCTATACACGATCAAAAATAACATCCAAAATATTATACTGCCCCATATAGCTATTTGAGACATCTGTTATGCAATAATGGATTTTAAGGATTTTAAAAAAATTTGAAAGCAGTATTAAAACACCTATATTATATAGAAAATTTTTTTTGGTATGCAAAGGGTCGAGTAAATCTGAAAAATTTCAATGAAGTTAAAACCAGGGTTGGTAATTAGGTCAATGACCGATGGAGTAAATATTAGAATTTCATTTTACGAGATGCTTAATTTGAAAAAAGCATAATTCAATCATGTTTTATATTTTCTCTATCGGAAAAAAAAGAAATTAAAGATATGTTTGAAAAAGAAAACGATCCAAAACATGTGCTCACACTTCTGATTATTTATCAGATCCAAAATATTACAAGAATTCGGCATTTTACAAGGTAATGATAATCAAAATATTAAGTGATATAAATTTCAGAAGCAAAAGCGATGGTATATTTAATATCCAAAATCTGTGGAAAACAATAACTTTTAAGAAACAATCAGTGCGGCCTCAAGTTGTTGGAATAGGTTTGCCTACCTGAATCATTGTAAGAAGTGCCTATTTTACTAACAATTCCTAGATCTACTTCTTCTTCAGAAATAAATTGATCTGTTTAATGTAATATTCATATGAGGAAAAGAAATCGATTGAAGATCTCGATGAAAATTGGCAAGAGTATATCATAACCTAAGATTGATTAAAAATATTAAAGAAAATAACAGTATTGAATATAAATCAGAACAAGACTCTGCCATGGAGAGCGATGCCTTAATTATAGACTTTAAAAAATATTATAAAATTTAATATTACATATTACATATATTTATATTTTACTATTATATAAAAAATAAAGTTAATATTGTCTTCAAAAACAATTATTTGAATTTTACTATATTTAATTGGTCAAATGCACAACCCTGGTTAAAAATCTATAATAATAATAATAAGGCAATTATTTTTATATTACTATCGTCCAAGATTGAGTAACCAGTCCTGATTTAAGACATACCACTATAACGACATAAGTATATATAAAATTTCCCAAGACCAAATAATCGCCAGTTTTCCCCGATCGCCAAACAACGTCTTTAAAACATTTTTAAATGCAAATGAGCGTAAATAATTAATAGCATAAAGCCCGCAAATTTTTTAACTTTTTAGTTTTATTGATGCCTTGAGAAAAATTTACAAATGTGGATAACTAACTTACCATTCATTTGCATGAGAAAAGTGAACCAAAATATAGAAAGCGAATGCAAGACCGCGTTCATGATCCATATCCAAAATACCTAAATCATTTTTTTTAATGAATAATAATATTTGAAAGATTTATAAAAAATAGATAAATATATCGCCTATCCATTAAAATTAAATATAAAAATTAGACGATTCCCGTATTATAAATAAAATCAAATATCTTCCATTAGCTTCCCGCTTTTTCATCTCTTATTTATTTGTTAATCTTTATTTCAATCGTTTTTTTGAACATAATTTTCACATTCAATAAAAAAAAATAGATTAACTTTGACATCAAACTGTTCACATCTGAAGGCTTCAGAATACAACATAGGGAATTTGAGGCATGATTCAGCACTACATGTCCTATCGAACAAACCTATAGCCGCTGGAGGTAGTACGGTAAACGCCTTATTATTTTTTTTTGTTATTTGCCAAAAAATAAATATTCAAAAAAATATATCATTACATTTGTATTAAAAACCAGAGACCAGCATCCCGGTCCGAGTTTTTATAATTTGGCAATTTACAGCCCGATTCAGATTTGTAAAAAATTATCATTAATAGTTTGAAGGCCCGGCTTGATTTTAATTAAAATATGAGCAAAAATAAAAAAGCTGGATACATTAATCGGGACCTAACATCAAGAAGTTAATGGGAAAAGGTTAAATATAAAGTTCTAGATACTTACAACATTGTAAAGACCTAAGGTCCATCTTTCGAATAAAGGTTGACCGGAAAAATAACTGATCATTGCAAACCAGAGCTGTTTTAAAAATAATAATAAATTTATAATATTTTTTTATAAAGTGTGAAAACCTAAACAAGTTACTTGACTCTTCGAGAGCCAATATTTATATAACATTTTATTTTAATAGGATTTTGGAAGGGAAAAAGCTGACAAGGGTGGTCAAGATAAGGAGGTGGCCTTGTGGAAATTTCATTAAATATTATATATTGATATAAAATGTGTTTATTTTATATTTTCCTTGTAATAATTTTAGTATGCTGATATTTTGAATAAAATAGATTAATTATTATGTGAATAATTGAATGAAGAATAAACTATATTATATGCTAAAAAATAAAGTTTAATTTTTTTTTTCAAACCATCGCTATGACGGAAATTTTAGAAAAATGGATTTTATATCAAAATTTTTTTTACTTCGATGACATACATGCATATATTCTTGTAAAATTGATAGAGAATAAGTTTGCACATGCGAGAATGATTCCAAGCCCCGTGAACCAATAAGAGTTTCGTCAAAAACCTAAACTATTTTATTAAGTTTAAAATACAAAAATGCTGACGATTCAAATTTATATATGTCATAAATATCTCAGGTTTGTAAGGTAAAACATAGTTTTTTAAATTTATATTTCAAATATTTGAAAGAAACTAAAAACTGCTGATATTAAATCCATCATTTAAAAATATTCGAGGCTTCTCGATTATATTGAATTCATAAATAAATCCGGAACTACTTGTGATATCGAAAAATCTGACGAATTCGCGGCCTGTAAACCTTCTCTTCCACCTATACCGACTCCCACGTGAGCAGCCTAGTTAAGTTTAAAGAAAAAAGTAGGATATGTATTCTAAAAAAACAAATATGATGTAGAACTTCAATTAAAAAAACCAACTATAGCCTTTAAATCAGTCGTAAGGTTTAGAACAATATAAAAATTTAGATGATATTCGTCTAATTAAAACCCTATGATATAATATAATAACAAAATATAACAACTTGAATCATAGCGACATCATTGGACCCATCTCCTATAGCTAGCGTTGAGTAAGGAGTGTATGCTCTTATTAATTGAACAACCTCAGATTTTTGGAGAGGTGTAGTTCTAAATATAATAATTATATAGATATATCATATATCCTTATATGATACTTTAAAAAACCTAATATTTTATAATTCAACCAGTCCGGTTTAGTTTCGATTTAAGCAGACCAAACGTATCTTTCAACTAAGTGTTATTGTGATAAATACTTAGAAATTATAATAATGATTAGTTTTATTAGATAATCAAACATGATAATGAAAATTTAATAAAACACTATAAAATTTCTATATCCCATTGTTCCACAATAAGATATGTGATTATTATCAGATAAAGAAAGGAATCTTTTTTTTTCAAAAAATAATAGGATTAACCTGCAACATATAATAGTTTGACACGATAATATAACGTCCAAGAAATCATTTTTAGAATCGGCGTCGAGAGCGAACTTCAAAGACTATATATATTTTCAGTAAATATCATATTGAAAAAATAAAATCTAAATACTGGATTCCATAAAATAATATCTAAGACATAAATATTTTAAAAAGTCGGGATCAGTTTTTTTACTCAGATAATATGCTTAATACCCAAGGTAATGCTGAATCTTACTAACACCGCAAGAATTAGATGTGGTTGGAAAAGTTTCATGAGTAAGCTCTCTCATAACCAATAAATAAGTGTTCCTTATAATCAGAAGATGCATTTTCAATTAAGGCGTTCGCTCGACCATAACATTATGGTGAGAAGACATAGCCAATAAATGGAGCTAACATAAATAAAATGAATTGAAAATAGAATAAGATATAGATGGTAAACGGGTTGAAAAGTTAAAAATGATGGTTGAATTTGGATAAAATATGGGTATTGTACCGATTGCTTACCTGTTACCCTTGCATCAACTGAAGTGGGGTGGCCATGTCCATTGCAAGACAAACGTGAACTGGGTTAAGTAAATAACAATGTTGGAAATAGAAGGTAGGACCTAAAAGAAGATCAAAGCAAAGCTGGGCAAAGGCGGTGGAAAATTTTTTTCAACTATCTAACTTAACTTATCAGATACATTCAATAGAGAACTTTATAGCCCGCGTTGCAAAAATAAAAAACTAACCCATTATAAAGAGGAAAATGGGAGCTGTGAACCGGGTTTGGATAGAATTTTTCGTGAATCTTAACTAGAATCTGATTCCAAACTCTCTAATTTATATACTTTTTGTTAAAATTTATCAAATATTATATAATTAAAAGATATCAATATTTATCACATTTATACTGTATTTTACATATAGTTTGAATAAAATATTATGTATCTTTATTAAAAAAAAATTTAAATTAATAATTTTTGATTGAAATTTTAAAAATAATTAACATTTTAGAAATTTTGATTTACTATAAAAATTTGATTGATGCTTCCAATCTGAATCTAATTTCACCGAACCCACCTTGAACCGAACTGAATTAACAATTACACAATTATAATCTGTTTGAACCCGAATAAAAAAAATCGTGGGTTCAAAGTTACACCCTTCAAATCCGGATTGAGCTTAAAACTTTAAAATTCGGACTGGGTTCGGGTTTAAATATTTTTAAAAGTCGGGTTAAGCTTAAAAAATAAAATATAGTATCATTTTCCGTGATAAGGATAAGGCAATTAGTAATTTTAATTTCAATGACATTTAATTTCCAAATCAAAACAAGCAACAATTATCGCCAAGGGTCGGGGACAACATAAACTCTTCATAATGTCTTTATTGATTTGAATGAATCAAAGGCTTTCGATATGCATATGCCATAAATTTTCTAGTCCCTTTTATAATCAATAAAATAACTCACATTTTTTAATTTTTTAAATCTCCTCTCTTAGTCATTTTGATATTTAATCTCATTTTCTTCATCACACCGGAATATTATTTCATGTCTATTTTTAAATCACTATTTATTATTAACATAGTTTGGTCTTAAAAATATTGTAGGCAACACACCTATATTCTAGATTTACCCTTCCACCCTTTATAATTTCTTTATTAAATTTTTTAGCCTATAAAAAAAACACCAAATCTTATTTTGGTAGACAAAATATTTCATAACCATAATCCGGTGATAAGGAGTTATTTTTTAAAAAAAATACAAAACCTTTCCATCTATAATCAAAGCCACTCTGTTATCTTTCCTAACACGGTCGCCAAGTTGATCTTTGTAACGTTTGAGAATATTGTGAACTTCCTTAAATTGTTAGTTTTAGGAAAAATTGAGAGATATTATAATTTAAAATTCTTCGAAATATTAAGAATTGAAAAATTATGTAGAAGTTAATTAATAATTAATAAATTAACTAAAATATTTATTTTATCAGGTAAGATTACAAAACAATTATAATGTTATTTCAAAAAATTCATTAATAAATTAGAGTAAATAATTTGGAAGAAAATTGAACCTCAGCATTATTTTCATTAACGACTAACAATGGTGTATCTTTTGTAAGTAGAGCACAGGAATAGCCTCAATTATTTATAAAAAAACTATTTTAAAATTATATTTAACAAAACGCTGAGTCAAAGTTAGTTATTGTGGTATGTCACTAAAGAAGAGCGAAGAGCTGATAAATTTATTCACCCATTTATTTCCCTGCCAGAATTACATACATAAAATTCATCATGTCTAAAGAAGTTAAAATGTACACCGAGTGTTTACACTAAAAAATAAATCCGGTTGTACCATCTGTTTTGGTATATAGAAAATGTGATTCTATTAAGGCGGATAGCATGAAAATTGTTAAACAATTTTTTTTAAAAAACCTATATTGATTGCAGTTTGTTGTTTATCTCCCGTTAAAACCCAGGTCTTGATACCGGCCTGAGCTAATTTTGTCAAACATTCTGGTACACCCTATAAAAATTTGAAAATAGAAGAAGAAAAAATGAATTTTATAATAATCGAATTAATTTTAGTATTATGAGATAATATGGTTGGTATATATTAGTAATGCGCGGAAAAGAGAAAAATGAAGACTTTACAGATCTAAATTTAAACCTCTGTTAAAGGACGAATTCTAGAAGAAAATGATTATGATTACCTTATAAAATATATTTTTTTATTCATAAGATAATAAATAATACTTCTTGAAGTTTGTCCTCAATAGCTGTAGCGCCTAAGAGTTGCAAATTCTATAATTTAATATTTAAGAATATATGCGCTCGCTAACATAAAATATAATTCCATTTTCCTTTCCTCTTTCTTACATTCTTTTTTCTTCATAATAATATCGATTAAAAAATAAGATTATTATTAAAGGTTGCATATACCTTTTCGACTTGAGCAAATACTTCGTCCACCTTTTTGTCCCTATCTTTGATAGCCAGTTTCGCTTCTTGATACTCTTTGTTCCATTTCTAAGAGCAGGTAGTTAAAGAAATGACAAATTATTATTAGTAAAAACATAGTTAAATGAAATTTAAAGGATTCCTATTACCCAATCTTGAATTCCTTTTTAAGCATAATATATTTTCCCCCATTATAATTTTTTTATTTATCTTACCAAAAAAAAGCAATCATAAATCAAATTTAAAAAAAATATATAAAAGCAAAGTATAAAATAAATTTAACTTTACTTTTACCACAGCTCAGAACATCATTAAATCAAAATGGTAGAATTTATTTGGGGTAAATAAACACGATCAAACAAATATAGAAAATAACTTGTTTTAATAATCATCCAACTTATAGATAACACTGTAATATCTATGCCACTTTTTTGAATATAAATAAATATCCTTATAAAATCGATTGATCTAATTGATAACGTAGTACACCCGAAGAACAATCACTTAGATTAAACCAATAATCAAGTGGCATTTTAAAACATTTTTTAATAATATTTTGAATTTCAAAACAAAAATATAAACTTTACTACCTCGTAGATGCTCTTATCAATGGGAGTAACGGCTATACACAATGTCCTAAGACCATGCATAGCGAACATTTCCAAATCGTTCATAGTCGTATCCCTGTAAGCGATATTTTTATCGTCGGTTCCGAGTCTGGCGTAAACCTCGTTATCGGCCCCTTTGGTCACTAACCATAATTCGTAATCTCCGTTTTTACCATGATCGGTCCCATTGGCCCCGTTGTTATAGTTATTGGAAACTTGGTCGGTTTTTTGGAGTGTGCTATTATAATTCTCGCTTTTACCCTGCACTCCATCTATATCGGCATCATGTTTTTGTTGTCCGAGTTGGTTATTATTTTCATCGGAGTTGATAATGGCTTGATAATTATTACCTTTAGTTATTTTACCGTTGTTTCCTCCGTTGGATGCTGTTAAATAACCAAAAAAAAAATCTAATCATATTTTATTGCGAATATTTAAAAATTTTATAGTCATGTTTCCTTAAAATTTTTATTAATATTAACTAATTAAATACAAAATATGAAACATAAATTAAAACCGGAAGTTGAATTCCGTTGTTCAGACCCGGGAGGTGGGGAATCTAAGAACCCTAAAGGGCATTTGATAATGCAAGACATTCTTTTGCGATCGGAGTTAAAATCGAGGATATTTAAAACTTCGAAATCGTATTTTTTGCCCAGTATATCCACGACTACCTTTGAGGATCCTTCTCGGTGAACGAAATCGTAACCTAGCTTTTTGGCTCCCTCGACTAATGCGCATTCGTCTGCAAATCAAAATATATTGATTTCAAAAATTGTTTACTGATATTTTTTTTAAATCGTAAATTTTAAAAATGTTTCGTGAAATTTTGAAACCGGAGGGCTCTTTTTAAAATTAAGAACCAAATCCCCTTTTTTAAACCTGCAGAGGAATTTTTTTATTTCAGGTTCCAATCTCTGCCTTTAGATCAAGAAATAAAGTCTTTTTCTTTTACTTTATATTAATGGAATTCGTTATAATTTATAAAATTACCTGGCGAGGATCCCTGATAATTTTCGATCTTCTTTCCCAATTTAACAGCAACATCGGCGAAAATGTCTTCTTCGGGAGTCAATGAATCGTTGCTAGTAGGAGAGCCAGGACTTCCTTGAGGCGTAAGAAAGCTTGGGTCAGATTCTACCGATGTTCGGAAGCAAGGGGCCAGCTCTGGACAAATGGCCAACTTGTAATTTTTTTTTTAAGTTTCGCAATAAATGAAAATTTTCTTAGAGGATCTAAATAAAAAAATTAATATCACATTCATTTGACTTTTAGGTCTACTATTTATTTATAAAATTCAATCCAAAATTTAAATTATAAGGGAATCCCAATACCCATCGCTTAGAAGAGGTTGGAATGCAACCCATAGCCACATCCTTTTTCTTTTTCTTCTTAGCAGGATTGATAGCCTCTTTACTACTATTGAATGGTTCTGGGGAAGGAGGAATATTGGCACCTGCGACGTCAATCTCATCCCTAGGAGAAATACTCGGATCTTCTAGACTGGGAGAAAACGACGAGTCAGTTGAAAGCTTGTTTTGCTTTTATATTAAAATTTAAGTAGTAGATGTTTGTAATACTTAGGAGTTTTTAAATTTTTGATAGAGGAAAATTTTCATTTTTTATATAAATAATTAATCTTTTATATATCCAAATATCTATTTTTTTTAAAATGCATAATTAACTAAACGAAGTAGTATGGTCCATAAGAAATAAATGATACTCATTATGGAGAAGTACTCTTTATTACTTACAATATTTGATATTATTACATATTTAATAGTCGCCATTTTGATATTAGTCATAAATTTTAGAAAAATTTCCACGTGTGGTGCGCGGATATTATAAAAATGAATAATTTAGAAATTGTATCGAACACTGAAATGTAAAATATTTATATATGAATTTTTAAAAAAATAAACCAAACTTTATTCATAGGTATAACAGTGTGACATACTGCGAGGACAGTCATGAACTGCCTGACAACTTTGGATTCTTCATCAGAGCCCCTTAGAATTTCGGCAAACGAGGGGTCGTCGAAAACCGTGTCTTTTTCGGATCGGTTTCTTCAAAAAAAATTAGAAATTATTTTTTCTCATTTTAGCCTTTTATTTTGTAAATCAAATTCAAGGGTTTATAAAATCTTTGTAAAAAAAAGAATCCTTTTTTATAATTCTACTTTTGCGAGGTTAGCAAATGGAAACGATGGATCAAATTATTGAATCCAGCTAAAGCAATAAGTTATTAAAGCTGATATAACATAGAACTAAGGGCTAGATGTAAATCATATCTAGCATTACTTACATATAATTTTCAACGCACCTGAATTATTTTCCATTTGAAAATAAAACGCCTGATCTTAGCGCTAGAAATGAGCTAGCGACGTTACTGGGCTCTATTATTGGCTTCAAATAATTTTTTTTTTTAAATCCCAGTTAATTTCGACAAATTGTAAAATATTATAAACATTTTGGAGATAGCTAAAGCTTAAATTCATAAACTCATATTAATATTTTTATGGGTCTGATAAAATATTTCCCAAAAAATCCCGTCTTATGTCTAAATGTGATGGTAAAAGTTTGTAACGTCATTAGTGAAAACCTTGAAGAGAACATATATCTTAATAAATGATGAAAATTTATCTCAAATTTCTATTTTACAGAATTACTCTAATAACTGTTTTCGAATTCTGTGTATCGTTAAATTTATCATAAAATAATTTACCCATAAACATGGCCACCGATGGTACACTTTTTAAACTCCATTTCATTCCGGGTTAATGTACCAGTTTTATCCGAAAAAACGTATTTTATCTTGATAGGGAGGGAAACAATATATACTAAATTTACACATATATTTTTGAACTCATAATCATAGCAAAAAAAAAGAAGAAACTTATATTTGTGTATTAAAGTTTAAAATATAAATAATGCATGCCCCAATGATATTATATAGAATAATATACTAACTAAATTGACGAGCCATTCATTAAAAGTGTGCATACATAGGACTTAGCGGCAACAACATTTTATGGTCTGCAAGTAAAATAAATGACATTTATCGTTTAATATATCGTTTAAAAACAGGGTTGTGCATTTGACCGGTCAAATATGGTCAAATTCAAATAAATGTTTTTTACACCAATATTAACTTTATTTTGCATTTATATAATATTATAATAAATCTATGTATAATAATAAATATCATAATATTTTTTAATTCATTCTATAGTCAATGTTTCACCCTCCGTGGCAGAGTCTTGTTCCGATTCATATTCAATATCATTATTTTCTTTAATATTTTTAATCAATCTTAAATTATGATACACTCTTACTAATTTTCCTGCTGTAGAAGCCTTTAATCTATTTCTGTTTTTCGTGTGAATATTGCCCCAAACCGACCAATTTCTTTCAGAAGAAGAAGTCGAACTAGGAAATGTTAGTAAAATATTAGCGACTTCTCTTAATGGGCAAGGTGGGCAAAATGCATTCCACCAACTTGAGGCCGAAATTTGATTGTTTCTTATGGAAGTTACAACTTTCCACATATTATGGCTATTAAATATACCGCTTTTGCTTCTGAAATTTACTATATTACTCAAAATATTTTGATTATCACCACCTTGTAAAATACCCAATTCTTGTATTATATTACATGCTTCATCAAATTCAGTATTAGTAAGATGCTCCCCTTGATATTGGGGGTCCAATAAATAAGCAGCATTGTGAGCACATGTATTTAGATCAGTTTTTCTCTTTTCAAACATAACCTTAATTTTTTTTTCTTGAGATGGAGAAAATATAGAATCATGGCATGATTGTATTATGTGTTTTTCCAAATTAAGCATCTCGTTTTTTACTTGGGCCAAAGTACATTTATCCCCTTGCACTTTCAACAATGAGGTAGCTAAAGGTTGGAGTATAGCTAAAAATTTTAAATTTTTCGTCCAAAATTCTTCGTTTAATATATTATTGGTAATTTCTATGTGACAAATATCACAAACAGCTTCTTCAACAACTGATGCTTTTAGAGCTTTCTTGCATATTTGAATTTGCTCCATACATTTTATTGACGATGCCTATCTTGTTTGGCTAATTGTACTTAATGTAGATGGTATGCTATGAAGATTCTTATTACGGGAAAATACTGCAGCTGGTATGTGTTTATTCTTGAAAAATTTAACAATTATTTTAATTATTGAAATATGGTCACTGAAGGCGTTCAATCGTTCAAAATCGTGAAAGAATAACTGCAATGTATGCGCTGCACAACCATAACATTGTATATGATTATAAATAGATTCAGATTTTAGAATTCTCCAGGCTGCTTTCATGTTAGCGGCATTATCAGTAACGAAAGAATATACTTTTACCGGATTCAATTCATGAATTACATTTTTAAATTCCTGGGCAATATAATCTGCCGTATGGCGATTTTCCTCAGTATTTAGAAATTTGTAGAACACTGGAACAGGCGTCATCACCATAAAATTAATAATACTCTCGTTTCTAATGTTGCTCCAGCCATCTGATACAATTGATAAGTAAGGAGCTTTATCTATTATATCTGCAACTCTCACCTCCATATCACCTGACGCTTTGTCTAGAAGATATCCAGCCAGCTGCCTTCTCCTGGGTAATGTGTAAATAGGACGTATTTTTTTAAAAAATTCTTGGATGTAGGGATTTTCAGTGATGTGGAAAGGTAAATTGCTCGCATATACAGCTTTTGCAAACAATTGATCCAGCTCATTTTTTTCTTTGGGATTAATTCTATCTATGAAACCGGTTATACAAGATTGAGATTTATATTTAATCGCCTTGCTTGTAGATTGATTAGAAATAATGGAATCAAATTCTCCTGAGTCACAAGACAAAATATTGTTCATTTGATAATCATTCTCACTAATTTCACCCAATTCTTCATTAGAGTTAGACTTAGAAGTATTACAAATTACATTTGTGATATTTTTTGTAGAGGTTGATATTTTGGAATTTGAATAAAATTTTTCCTTAATTATAACAGGGCACATAGTACAGCTGCTTAATAAATGTTTGACCATTCTATCAACGTGGGTGATATAGGACATCTTGCAAAACTTGCACACCGCTTTAACTGATTTACCATCGCGTACTTCTTGAAAATGTTTTCAAACATGATGCTTTGGTTTGACCATAATCCCTAATATATATAAATTTAAGAAAAAATGATTGTGATTATTGTAAAGTTAATCAATCTTAACTATTTTATAATTATCGACCAATAATTCCAATAATTTCTTAATATTATAAATATAATATAATATATATAACTTTTTACCAGAATTGAATAATATTCCGTAAATCTGACCCGAACAATTAAAATGAAAATTAATTTTAAAAACCAAATATAGCAAGTGTAAGTAAAACAAATGAGAATTAATATAATTTATACTCGGCTAAATATTAAATAAAATTTAAATTTATTAAAAAATAAGAATGAAAAAATTATATTATGATTATAATAAATCGGGTATTTTTATTTTTTTTAAGAAAAATGAATTGAAAAAAAATAAAGAAGGCGAGAAACGGCAATGATTAGGCAAAAAAATAACTAAAAATATTACTATATTTAGAAAAATTACATATTTATATTTTAACAATAAAAAAATTCTTTTGTTTTTAACAATTCATGAGACAAATAATTTTTTAAATAATTGTAACCTAATAAGATTGATAAACATGCTTTTAATGCATACTAGTTAATTATATCAAAATATTTATTCGCCATTAATATTTTAGAGTATTTGACCGGTCAAATACACCTCCGGTCAATTGACCGACATGCCAACCCTGTATTATTTTCAATTATAAAAGAAATTTAAACAAAGTAAATGTCTTTTAGTCAAAGTGAAGAGTATAAGATAACGTTTACAGCTAGCTTCTAAATATGTAAACTCTTAAAAGTATTAATGAATGAATCGTCAATCTATTAAAATGCAGGCGCGTATGTAGGAATTCGCTATGAAGGGGGGGGGGGGGGTAATTATTTTTCGATTTATAAGACTAAATTTCAGAAATTTATTAGAACTAGGACTCGTGACTATAAAATTTGAGAATTTTTAATACACATATTCAAATATAAATTAATGTATATAATCGAAGTATGAATCACACTAAAATAAATGTCTCGAAAAAGAACTGACAAAAAAATATAATTTTTTAGGCATTTAAAATTTGATATATAAATTTATATTATATTTAAAAATAAAAAAAATGTTGTAAATATAAATTAATGCACAAAAATTTCCTAAGAATTATTGCGTGTATATAAACTTGCAAAGTATTCATGAAAAAAAAATGTGTAATAAAAAAATGAGGAAAAAATATAATTAAAAAGCATATTATATTTATAATGTAAAATTTAATTTTTCAATGATTTCACCAGTGCTTGGTATCATCCTTCTATGTATATTAAGAAGAGCTAACACCCATTCAATATATTTTCAAAGGTAATACTTTTCACAGATATGTTTTTATTCTTGTTAAAGAGGAAAATGTTCTTTCATTGGTAGAATACTAATGGATAGTTGCCAAAATATATAATAATCGAATATATATAATCTCCATAATCATAACACGATCGTTTTCGTATCTCCCTAAAGTATTTTAAATTTAAGGAGACTATATAGTGTAATGTTAATTTTTTGCTCTCTACGAGAATCGAACCCGAGCCTCCCGTTTCAAAGGCATATGCTTTACCGCATGCGCCAACTTGAATATAATATAATTTAAAATATTAATTATATAGATGTTGAAGGGTAATTATTTAGTTTGTGTGTATGGTATTAAATATACTTTATTAATAAATTTTATATAAATATTAAAATTTAAGAGTAAAAGAGGTAAAATTGTTCAATGTATACTGTGAGCATGTATTAGAAATATCAAAATTTAAAAATGTGATGGAAATCATATTGAATAAAATTTAAAATAGAGGTGCTTTAAGATTTTTGAATTTTAAATATGGGTTACAGATTGGTCTGAAATTTTTTTTGCAGACAGCCAGAACTGATCAAAAAACCATGTGTTGAAGGGTAATTATTTAGTTTGTGTGTATGGTATTAAATATACTTTATTAATAAATTTTATATAAATATTAAAATTTAAGAGTAAAAGAGGTAAAATTGTTGCAATGTATACTGTGAGCATGTATCGGAAATATCAAAATTTAAAATGGTTTGTTTAAAATTTAAATTAGGTTGAACATATTTTCAGAATGGTACTTTAATATGTATTCATGAATTTCATATAAATACCAGGAGCTCAAATTTACCCTTCATTTGATTATAATTTTGAAATTAGACAGATTTAATTCTTATAAGCCCCTTACATCACACCTATTTTTCTGGATCAAATAAATTATTTGGGTTTTCCTGGGCTTGGGAAATATTTTTCACCATTAATATGGACTTGGACATAGCTTGAGAAACATTTTTCATAATTATTATAGTCTAAGATTCCTGTAAATTTTTTAATTTTAAATATGGGCTAGAAATTGGCCTGAAAATTTCTTTTGAAGACATGGCAAGGCCTGATCAAAAACCAAGGCCCATGCAACTTTCATATTCTGATTGTATTTTTAAATGCATTGTGACTTTTTATATATTTTATTTCAGTCCTCAATTATCAAAATTATTATGGTCTTTTGCGGGTTTGAGAAAACCAAGTGCGAGGGCCTGGCTTGGGGATTTTTTTAATATTAGGCATAGGTGTAATATTTAACACAGAATATTTATATGGCCCTCAGGTAAAATCTAATTTAAATATATTTTTATTCAAAAAAATAGTATTCACTCTTAGTCTTAATGGGTTGGCCTTGGTTGGAGTGAGCTAGGTTAAAATAGACTAAAAAATAGATATGGTTTTTAGAGATTTACCTATCTCCAGGCTTGGAAAATTACTATCGGTTGGCCAGGTTTGAGAAAATTTTTTTATAAAATTATTATAAGGTGTGCTGGGCTTGGAAAATATTTTTATAAATTATATTGGGCTGGGCTTGGGTAAAATTTTTCAAAATTATTATGAGCTTGGACGCTTGAGAATTTTTTTATTAATTATAGGTCAGACATTGGCCCAAAAAAAATTTTTTTGCTGGCCTGGGCTTGACCTGATCAAATAACCAAGGCCCATGAAAATCTGAATTTTGATTTTATTTTTAAATTCATTATGATTATTTAAATATTTTATTTCAGTTCTCAACTACCAAAATTATTATGATCTTTCATTGGGCTTGGAAGAATTTTCATAATTGATATGGCTTTTGACTTTGCCTGGAAATTTTTTTTAATATTAAATATTAGGTATAAGTAATCAGTAATATTTAACAAATAATATTGGTATTATCAAGTAAATGCTTTAAATTTATTTTTACTCAAACCATAGCACTTAGTTTTAATGGATTATACCTGGCCTGAAGGGATGAGGGGGTAAGAAGAATAAAAATTGGATATTATTTTCATGCATAAAAGTAAGAAGAAAATTTTCATTCCCCGTCATTTTTGACGGGCTATTTACTAGTTTTTATATATTAAGAAAATAGCCTAATATATGATTAAAATTATTCAAAACATCTATAGAATATTTTGGAATATTATCATCCATATTTAAACTTTTATAAGATAGTTTGCATTCAGTTAGTAATGCCTCATGGAATAATTTAATATCCTCATAATACAAATCTTCCAAATATTTAAATTTACTTAATCAAGATTTAAAATAGATTCGGAAAGATTCTGTTGTAACAATATTTGCAGATTTTTAAGTGCAGCTGATTAATAAAGAACCTTTTATTCATTTGAGTTATCAAAGTATCCAAGAGGGAGATAAAAAGATTTATTTTATAGTATTAATCGGCTGACCCTATATTTATAATGAAACGATGGGTTTACATTGCTGCTAGTCGAGGTAAACAAATATGAAATTCCTAGAGCTCTGCTTTTGATTCAACAATGACATCTCATTTATGAAATTCGTTCTAATTTCCTTAAATTTCAATATAATGTTTTCATCTATTCTCATGGTCTCAATCAAATCTAGTGTTGTTTAAAAGTTCGATTTTTAAAAATTGCCAACCCAATATTTTAGCCAAAAAATATATCAACAAGCCTCGAAATTTTCTTAGCAAAATCATCAGGCTTGGTAATATTTTTTGGCTAAAATATTAGGTTAGCCGTTTTGAAGAATCGAGCCGTTTACAACATTAATCAAATCGATGTCATTTTTTAAAAATATTTTACTTTGGTTTTGCAATAAAAAAATTTCAGGTAAGAAATTTTAAAATGGTAGATAAATATAACGGCAAGGAAAATTTGAATTAATATTAATTCATAGAATACATTAGTAGCGTATTTATTTCTGCTGTGAATGTGATAAATAAATGTAAATTGTAATATATATGCGATGAGGTAGGAATCAGTAATATTTTTGAAAAATATTTTACCCGGCATCTGAATTTTCCGGATAACCGATAAAATATTTATAAATTTACAAAAATAAGTCATATGTATTTAAACTATATGACTTATAATTCTTTCTTCCTAATTATTCGATTTAAAAAAAATGTTTATGAAAATTCTCTGTGAGCCCTAATTGAAACTTATAAAATGCAGTAAATATAACCTGTCCAAGTTCTTCGTTTAGGCTTGAGGTTCGAGCGGTAGCGTATGTCATACTATCCTTGTCATACATGTCCGCGTCCTGAGGTTAAAATATTTTAAAATTCAAAATTAATATTTTTTACCATTGGAAAGAAATTAATATCTTCAAAAAAAATTGTATGTATATTTAATGATATTTTTATATTAAATAAATATCATGGCATTGTTAGTAAAGAATAAAAGGTGAAAATAAAATTTAAAATGGTTTATTGTAATTAATAGATAAACACTGTTAAATTAATTAATTTTCGTTGTAGCTCCCCCTCTCGCCTATGTTTTGTCTTCACGGTTAATTTTTGGTCCCCAGAACTCCCTTTCATTTACATAACAAAAAAAAATATATCCTTATTTTATTATAAATTCACTAACCACGTTGATAAAATAAGCCTGGAAAAATCTGATAACTTCTACCGTGACTTGCAGGCTAATAGGGATCAGGTTATTGTACAGGATGACGAAGGTGAGAAAAATGTAGCCAAAGTTACTAGCCACCATTTCTTATAATTGATAAAATAAACTCATATTTAAGCAAATAAAAGAAGAAAATTGTTTCAAATGAAAGATTTTGAATCGATATTTCTAGCTATTTTGTTTTTAAGAGTTAATATCATGTCATCTAAACAAAATGATAAATTTATTTTTACGGGATACGCTAAAAATATTTTTAGGCAGAATCCGAAGCGAACTAACATCCAGGAATAAACCATTATAATTTCATGAACCTTGGGTTACACATTCTATTTTTGTAATTAGTTATTTATTTATTTTTCTAATAAAATATAGTCAAATAATACGTTTGCTAAAAAAATTCAAAAATTAGTAGATACCAGTTTTAAATATTATTCACAACTTTAATTAAAGTGGGTAAAATCAGGACAAATATGAATATTAAATTACCAGAATATTTCTTTTCTCTGACGTGGGCTCTCTCCTCGGTAGTGTTGGTAGCGTATACTTCGTCCTCCTGACCATCAAAATTGTTGTAATAATTGTATTGATTGGACGTATTTTTATCCGTGTTCGAGTCTAATGGCCGTCTTTTCTGAAATCTCGGCAATAAATTAGGGTTGGTTTTCCACCAATTGGCTTTCGTGAAAAATAACGAAAATTTTAGGGACCAAAAGTTTTTTCCCTTTGAATTATGACAAGCGCTCAATAACTTAGAATTTTTCAGAGAATTCTTAATTAATAAATCAAAATTTTTTAATTAGACAGGTTAAAATGTAACGTAATCAAAACATATCTCATTTTAAAAATGTGTTGCAAAGATTTATCAAAATTAATAGATTGAATTATCACGAGGACTAGAATCATATGATAAAAAGGCCCTCTAACCCAAGGAGAGAATATGATGTGTGTAATTGAAATTTCGGGGGGGGGGGGGGTAGGATATTTGATTAGTATCTATTTAATAATTGAATCATGGGGGAGGAACTCCGCATGATTGGCTTTTAACTAATAACATAAAATGGAGAAAGGCGATTAGAAAGAAAAATGGCTGAGCTACAGAACAAAAAGAACGTAAATGATTGTGTAAGATATCCAACCCACCCCTCCCCCTTATTTTTCTCAAAAACATTCCAGGTAAGTAATTTAGCCAATATATTAAGTCATTTAAAATATAATTAATATGTAATAAAATCCAGTCAATTTTCAAGTAATGAGGAATAAAAATAACATAATAAAGCTAGTAATGTATAAACTAATAATAAAAAGAGAATTTACGGGAAAATCCAAGGTACCAATCTTTGTCTAATCTTTTGTGATTATAAATAGTGTTTCCTAGAGCACTTATCAGACAAAGCGAAATCAAGATGACGAATAGAATTATGATCTTTGTCCCCAGATTGTTTTAAAATGTTTTATAAGGAATGATTAATTCATAAATCATATTGTGCGATAAAAGAATAACATCATTATAAAATTGTTTTAATAAGTTTTATTAATTTTCGATTTCAAAAATTAAACGAATCTGAAATACAGAATGTTGAGGTAGCTTTCAATAAAAAAAAAGTTACAATTAAATTAATAAACTAATCTCCTTAACAACAACGACTCGTTACTTTTTGAGCAGAAAAATAATAGATTCGTTACTTTTATTACTTCTTTATAAGTTACTGAACTGGCTTTTTAAAAAGTAATAATGCGAAACTTTTATCTATATATTTTTTCCTAAATTAATAATAATTTGAGCCGAGTTTTCAGATCACATCCAACAACATAGATTTTATGCTCTTTCTTTATAGTTTTATTTTTGAACATTACATAACCTTGCTTTTTTTCAAATTTCATCAAGAATCTCAAATTAAATTTATTAAAATCAAAATTTTATATAAATTTAATGAACAAGGTAAAGATAAATGTAGCAAATTAATCTTTTTCATGTTACTTTTTTAAATTTTTGCACATGCGCACCGCGCGAAAAAAAAACTTAAATAAGAGGCGTGTATTTTTTCATCTTTAGCCATTTTGCGAACCAAAAACTAACAAAAAATTTATCATATTATATATTTGGAAATGTTAAAAAAAACCTGTCTATTAACTATTTTGTCAATTGAGGATCTTTTGAGGGATGGCAACATGGCATTCTTTCATTTCATCAACAAAAAAATATCAATTATTTAACGAATTTTCATGCAATTGTAAAAAGAAAAAGAATTTAGCATATTATATTTTTATCAGCAATTTATATAATTTACGAGCATGATTTTCGTTTCGTGTCCAGTATAAACGCACACACCTTTATAAATATAAAATTAATATTCAAATTTTAATTATTTATTTTTTTAAATATTATTAATGACCAATTTTTATAAAATCCTTTCAATAAAAACACAAAATTTCTGAATAAAATTATACAGAATATCGAACTTATTCCCGGTTTCGCTTGTGATAGTAGTATTTAATTTAAAATAAGATGATATTTGATTATGAACAGGGTTGCCAGGTTAAAATTTTTAAATTACGGAATTTTGCGGACCTCCATTCAGCCGGTTGAGGAGATGAAACTTATTTAACTCCCCATTTGTTACTTAGTTATACTTTACAAAATCACTATCATTTTATTCTTTATATTGCTTCCAAATTGTTTTTTTTGCGTTCTATTTCAAATGGTATAGTGTAAATTGCTAAACATTTTTTCTACCGCGCTCGTGTCGTGTTATTGGTAAAAACATATTCATCATTATAATTTAAAAACTAACCGCTAGTAGAAATAAGGAAAGTTCTCAAATTTTATTGATAATTTATTTATACAAAATAATTGTTTCAGCTTCTAAAAAGTAAAAAATTATTATTTAGATTTACCATTTAATCATGTAAGACTAAAAAAAACTATGTTGGATTTTTTTCTTAATTTCGAGGGATTTACATTGTAGGATAATTCCATAACAAATTGACCAGTGATTCGGACGACCATTTTATTTATAAAATAATTATTTTAAAAGTAGCGCCCTCTATAATTGTTTATTTATTCCTAAAATTATATATAACTAAATAAAATTTAAATTCCTATTTTCTCCATTAATATTTACTTTAATATTTAAATATATTGGTAATAGACATATTAGATTAGTTGATCGTTTTAAACACCCTGTATAATTGATTTTTTTATTCCTAAAATGATAAAAAACTAAATAAAATTTAAATTATTATTTTGTCCATTAATATTTTTACTTAACATCTTTAATGAGTTTCATCGTTTCATATTGGGTCCTTCTCAAAATAATTTTATTAGCTTAACCGGAAATACAACGACACTGAAGATATTTTTAAAATAATTTTTGCATCTTCTGAAGGAGTATTTTGAGGGCTAGAAAATTATATATAATTTGTTACTTTAGACCAAAATTGAGTAATTCGATATTCGTTAAAAGAGCAAAAGGCTCTCATCGAACTTTGAAGGTTCATAATTCGAGATATATTTAAGCTAGAGCATTAAAATTTTTATTTTTATAAAATAATACAATCTATTTAACCTTCACGCCAAGTTTCATCTATTTTAAAAATGGCATTCGAAAATCACGTTATTTTGGTCGATTTGTCATGGAATTACCCTGTTGTTACAGTAGCGATAGCTTTAGTGCACCACTTTTTAAAAAAATAGCGATCGCGGTAGCACATTACTAATTAAGAAAATAATAAATACACATAAAAATTATTTAAATATTTTTTTAATTAATTCTATAATCAAATTTTTTTTATTAATTTTGAAATTTATATTTTAAAGTTTGCATTATAACCTAGTTTTCAAAATAATTTAAAATGCCGAAGATAGAGATTGATATTGAAGATAATTTTGGTACAGATCATATCAACAAAGTAATTTCTCTGAAAAATAATAATATGAAATTCCTTTTCCCTAAATTCGCAAAATATTTTAGTCTCGATAAAAAAAATTAACTCAGGATATAAATTTCGTTGTGCTGTAAGGTTTTATCATCAAACAAGACTAGAAGCTTCAACTGAAGAAAAAACTAAACAAATTTAATATCAATGGGTAGCCTAATTTTTAATCTTTAAAATAAAATTTGAATCAAGGCACTGTGATGTTCGAAGTACAAGGTCATTATGAGTAAAGGACGTAGAGGGGACGAGGGTAGATATAGGATTTGGTGCGCCGACTAACTCAGGATTTAGATTATAAGGATTAGCCTTAACCATGGTGTACGTAGGTGGCTCAAGACGTAGAAGGAATTAGGCACAAAGTCAATTGATTTCTAGCTTTATTAATTTAGGAGGAAGGTAGAAGGAATTAAACACATATCAATTTATAGATTTATTAATTTAGAAGGAGGGAAGAAGGAATTAGACACAAGTCAATTTTATTATTAAATAATTAGTTAAAACATAAATATTATCGAGGAATAAAACGCAAACGCTCTAAGAATGGAAAAAGTAAAAAATAAAGAAAATAAAAGTGCTTAAACACACTCCCATCCTTATATAGGTTTTTCTTAATCGATGTATGTGCTTATATTTTTAAGCTAATAAAAACATGGAAAACCTGTTGGGATTGTTTTGTGTTCTTTTCGAACAACCAAATCCGAAGCGTCAAATCCTATAACTAATCTCGGCCCCTCTCCTTTACTAACAATGATCCTAATACTTTGAACTTAACAGTATCTATAACAGTTTTGGAGCAAGATGAATTGTAAAGGTTGATTTTCTAGCCCATTCTAAACAAGGTATTCAAATGGCCATAAAATATTATTTAATAATTCTATTGTAAATTAAAAATTACAATAAATTATTAATACTAACATCTCATTTTATCATCAGACTCATCTATTTTATGATAATATTTTATAAATTATTATCTGGATGTTAAACATGCGATTAAATACTCATTTATTTATATATTTATAAATATTATTTCAATCTTTCATATTTTGCCCAATTTTGAGATGATTTTTCTTATATATATTTTATTTTTAATTGAATAGTACATTGGCCTTAAGTGCTAGTGTTGAACGAATCAAATCTTACACTTTCTGCTGGACGCTCTACACTTGGGTATGACAGTATGGAAATGTTATTATTATTGAAATGCAATAAAAAAATTATATATATTTGAAATTTTAGTTATATTTTTTAACCAATATTTTTTATTTGTGGAAGAAGAGATATGTAAAAAATATTTTTTTAAAGATTCTAAAATGGAGTAAAAAGTTGCTAATAGCGGGCTACTTTTTATAAAAAATAGCGGTAGTGATAGCGCACTACTTTTAAAAGTAGCTTTTAACAACACTGGATTTGCGTAGAGAGTTCCTGCGTGTGTTTAGGATAAAAATATCACACTAGTTGGGGGAGACATGGTAACCCATGAATGGTCACATAGGATTGATCTTAAATTGAATTTCCATCTTCATGGCTAATATGTCAAACTGTGACATAAATATTGAACTGATCTAGATGTACTATTATCATATTTCATCAATACCCTTTCATTTCCTTGAGGTAATCCAGGTAAAAATTAAATTAATCTAAAAATTGAGACAATTCGGTTGTTTTTTTTATGGGAAGAAGATGAAACAAAATTTCATCCATATAAGGTGTTTACTATCTCTTAAACATAGCATTAGGGAGGTCCGAGTAAAAGAATGATATACATGACTAGACTTTTCAATTTGCCGGGGCTTCGTGGATAATCAAAATTTAAAATGAAAGCTCTTTAAAATTTTGAAGGGATTCGAGCCTCTAACCCCCCTCCTCTTAATGATGCCACCAGATGTAATCAAAAAAGTTAAATAATTTAAGATTTTAAATTCATAGGATGTGTTATGTAATAAATAGTGTTGTTAAAAGGCCCAACTTGGGTCGATTTTAACGGCCAGATTAAGATTTTAGCCAAAATAATATTAAATAAGGTTGGAGATTTTGCTCATAGATGGCAAAAATTTGGATTTCTATTTGCCAAATCTAGAGGCTACATAATTTATTATGGCTAAAATCTTAATCGGGCCGTTTAACAACACTAGTAATATGTATATATGTATGGTAGTAAACCAATAATCCACTTTGTGTTTTTAAGTTGAGATCCGCGCAATAAAAGTTGGTCGGAATTAAGAGGAAAGGGCCTAATAAAAAAAATATTTAAATAGAAAAATTTATAATCGATTCCATTGTTAGAAAAATGTCAAATTAGTACATGCCTACAATATTTATATTTTGTGAATTTTTGAGCATAAAATAGCAAACTTAGATGACGTCGCTTATAAACGCCTATAGCCATCCTAATAACTCCCAGAATCTCACCAAAATTTATTAATTAATATATAATAAATTTCTAGATTGATAATAAGAATTAGGAGTGAATTAAACATTTCATTTTAAAAGCCCCCTTTTTTTTAAATAAAAAATGAATAATGAAATCTAAGTGCAGAAATATTTTTTCCTTTAAAAACAAACAAATACGAATTTAATTAAATATAACTTTCTTTCTTTTCTTACCCTTTTTTAAAAAATCTATCATATTCATAAGTAATGTTTTTTTTAAAACTAATTAAGGTTAAAAATCAAGGCCATACAAAAATAATATTGTTTATTTACTATATACATAATTAAAAAATCTAAATTGATTTGTTACTTTAAAGGTATGTTATTTAATTAATAGTTTCATTTATATATTAATATATACATTAAAACTTCTCTAATTTGTGCATCACATTCATAAGGCATTAAAATATATGTTGCGCACATTAGTAAAGCAATTTATGAAATATAAAGGGCCAGTTGCATAATGTAAAAATATTTTATATATCTCGTATTGAAGTGTAAAAAAACATTTATAATTATAGATTTTATTTTGAACTCGAACTGTTAATAAAACCAAAATTATCTTTTATTTAACTTAAGAAAAATAATGTCCATTAGGAATATAGATATATTACGATCGTAATAAAAATTTTAAACATTTTTTTGAGCCCAAGAATTTTTTCAAAAAATTTAAAGAAGAAAAATTAAATAGAGAGTTTACTCGGCCCCTTCTATCCTCAATGAGCCAGTAAAATCGTAGAGAAACCGGGTAGGTTTTTCGCACTCTATTTTGCCCCTAATAGTTCTCAGGGAAGCGATGAAGCCAGCGTAAGCGTTGGTAGCCACGCTCCTGAGACTCGATTTCGAGGTTATGTCGCTTTTCCATTTCTCGGCATCTTCCGTTTGTCCGGATTGGGGAGTCAAGGTTTTAGCTGGAGGGGCCTGTCTAATCTTGAGGTTGGTCTCTCCGTCCAGATTGGAAGTTTGGATGTAACACATGCCCTCGGGCTCGCTAGAGGCTAATAGCACTAAATCAGCTGGGAATCTATTATCCTCACTTACTTTCACCAGATCACCAACAGATAACTTTTAGTATAATGAATTTTAGTATAAAGTTCATTTAAGAGGTGAGATTAATTTGGAATCGCAAGTGCGGGGAGATGAGTAGTATACTTTGTCATAGATCCTCGGTCAAAGGGTCTCCAAAATAGGAATCAAACCAGATTGTCTCAGTCCAAATCTGCCCGTAGAGAGGATTTATAATAACTTCATTTTTTATGGGGAAACATTTTTGGACTGAGCAAAATAGTTAATGAGCTTGGTTTGGTAGATTCTTTGATATTAATCCTAAAATACTTACTTATTTAGCTCAATATTTTTGGAGAAAAAAAAGAATTGTTAAAATATATTAAAAAATTTTTAAATTTTGCTTAATAAAATCTATCCTTTTCCTTCTTCCTTTCCAGGTTATTTGTTGGCTTTTAATTTATAATATGAAATGAGTGTAATCTAATTCTAATTGAGGATTTTAATTAAATTTTATTGCTTCATAAAAATATATTGATGACCAAATTTTAGCATAATATATTATATATAGAGTAAAGAAGAGGGAGGATATTTCAAAAAAAATTCACTTATTTTTTTCTTGTCTCGCCTACAATTATATAATTATAAATTCAATAAATAGTATTTATAGTATTTAATATATTCTTGTAACTAATTAAGTGATAATTTAAGTGTTTTTTGCTGTATATATCATAAACGTGTAAAAGTGGCATGTACAGTTCTATATATAACTAAACATGATCAAGCTCAAATGTTTTCCCATTATTTTTTTACCGTCGATTTCGTGAAAGATGATTCTAAGATATAAATACTATGTAATAGCTTAACATCTCAATTTTTATTTTAAAGAAGGAAAAAATTATCTAGGAATGCGTCATTACATAACCCTTTTTAGAGGGGGAGGGCGGGGGGGGGGGGTTGATTCCTGAAAGATTATATTGATTACATGTCAGTTCAAAGGGGTGTTATTTCGGAAAGTATTTGTCCATGAAGAAATTCGGTATAATTTGTTGTTGCATCTTCATCGTAATATATTAGATTATAACATAGGTCTACCCTAAAATAGATGGCAGTGAAATCAGAATAATTTGAATATCTAATTATTAACTACTGGTTTCAGAACAGCTATTCTTATAATTTATTTAGAATTAAAAAAGTGGTGCTGGCAATAAATCATTTAACAAAAATCAATGACAAATATTTGACTATGGTTAGTTTATTTCCTAAATCTGGCCTTCTACGATATGGACTATCTATATCTCCTGCCGAACTGAAGGTAACGCATTTTGTAAAAATTATCTTTGTCTTTTGTAAAATATTTCCATAATTCAGATACCATATTTAAAAAAATTCTTTTATTTATTTAAAAAAATTCTTTTATTTAAAAAAATTCTTTTATTTAAAAAAATTCTTTTATTTAAAAAAATTCTTTTATTTAAAAAAATTCTTTTATTTAAAGTATAAATCAGAGACGTATTTTAATTTTTTAAATATACCCGGGCCGGGCCTAAAAAAATTTTTTTAAACATATCCGGGCCGGGCCGGGCCTAAATAAATTTTTTTTGAATATATCCGGGCCGGGCCTTAATATTTTTTATAAAAATTTTTACATTATGAGTTAATGGTTATATTGGGTGATGGTTAACACTACCTAACAACCCACAGATCGATTTAATTATTAATTTCCTGCAAATTTATTTAAAGTATTAATATATTTTTTTTATAATTCATATCTAAATTTTTACAACATATTTTACCAAAACAATCAAATAAAGGAATATCTTAAATAAGCCCCAATATTCAAGTATTATTAATATATATTTTTTATAATTCATAGCGGCTAAAGTGGAGATCTTTATCTGGAGTGCTATTTGATAAAAGAATCCCACACAAATTAAAGGGAAAAATTTACAGTTTCATAATACAACCAACTATTCTATATAGTTCGGAAACATGGCCAACCAAAGAATCAGACGAGAGAAGTCTACAAACCATGGAGATGAGAATGCTGAGAATGATTACTGGGGTAACAAGAAAGGATAATGTGCGCAGTACAAGAATACTAAGTAGTTTAAAGGTAGTGCCCATTAAGACTAAGTTAATGGTAAACAGACTTAGGTGGTATGGGCACACAATGAGAAGGCCTATGAACTACATAGGCAATAAAGTTAGTAGTTTGGAAGTGATGGGCAAACGTAAAAGAGGAAGGCCAAAACTTCAATGGGGCCATAAAGTTAGAGCCAATATAAAGAAGTATAAATTAGATAAAAGAGATTGTATTAATAACATAAAGTGGAGAGAGATGTTGAAGGAGCTTACCACCAGAAAAGGTGAAAGCTAAAGAGAAGAAAAAAAATTTTTTTACCAAAACAATCAAATAAAGGAATATCTTAAATAAGCCCCAATATTCAAGTATTATTAATATATTTTTTTATAATTCATATCTAAATTTTTAGAATATATTTTACCAAAACAATCAAATAAAGGAATATCACTTCTTATAGTTTGTAATACCCTTCAAAGCGAAAAGGAGAAATAAAATTGATTTTACTTAATATAAAGCATTTTTTAATTGAAAAATTTGTCTTACACAAGTATCATTTTATTTCTCTTTTTCTCTGTCCCAAATTCAAGCAATTACGTATGTAGTCAGGGACAGATCGCAAAATGACGGAAAACTATATAAAAGATTATATTAAATTACAAGAGGCTCAGGAAGTAAATGAAATACCATCGACCAGTCAAATTACGACTGTTGTTAAACAAACTGAATCGTTTTATGACAAATGGGGCGATGGTAATTCTGGTAATATGTCAATACCCGATGATGAATATTATAATTACATAAATAATAGATAAAACATTTAAGGTGGATAATTTGTTAGAGTGGTGGGCGGCTCATCAAAGCGAATTTCCAATTTTAGCAAAATTGGCAATTCCTGTTTTAAGTGCAAGCTGTGAGCGGAATTTTTCCACTACTGGGAGAATTCTTGAAGAAAGAAGAAATAATCTTCAACCTGAAAAGGTAGATATGCTTCTCTTTCTTCATGATAATTTGTGAATTTTTAATATCTTTCTTGAGTATAGGGTTTCGTCAATCATGCTGGTTTTTTACTTTGCAAACTGTCAAATATTTATTGCATTTATTATATTTACCTTGAGTCATGAAAGTTTTTAATCCAACATTTTTTATTATTTTTTTTTACAATATTATATAATACAATTATCTTCTTTTGTTAAAAATTTATATTATAAAATAAATTATATTAATATTGTGCAATTAGATTATATTTTCAAAATACTATTTATTATACATGCATTTTTTAAATAGCGATTTATTTTTATTTTATAAATTAAATACAATATATTATATTCTCAAAATATTTTCCATTTTTATAAATGCAATATAAAATATAGTATATGCTCAAAATATCCATTTTTATAAATAACAGTTTTATAATTTTTATAAATTCAATATAATATTCTCAAAATATTAGCTTTTTAAATGTATTTTTTAAATAATAAGCGATAATACTCGCTGAAAAATATTGTAAAATACCTCATAGGTAAATTTTTGTATATACCAGGTCGAATATAATTTTAAAAAATTCCGAGCCGGGCTTGAAATTTTTTTTAAAAAAATATCCGGGCCGGGCCTTAAATTTAAATCCGGGCCGGGCCGTAAAAAATTTTTTTAAAAAATATCCGGGCCGGGCCTTAAATTTTTAAAACCGGGCCGGGCCGTGCAAATGGTACCTCTGCAGGTCTCTGGTAAAAATAATAAAATTGGCCTTATTATTTAAAAAGATTTAAAATAAATAAAACTTTGGGTGTTCCTTTCTATTTTTATAAAAAAAAACTTTTAAAATACTATAAATCTATTTTAAAAAAGAAATAAAATTTAAAAAAATTATTTAGAAAATATTATAATAATGTAAAATAAATATACATAACATAAAATAAAATAACAAAAAAGAGAAAAGTAAAAAGATCGGATCGGGTCGGGTTTTTACAGGTATCGGTCCGATCCGATATTTAATATCAGCACAGCCCTACTAAAAACTAAAGTATGGAAGGTTAATAATCAGGCCTCAGGCCATCATTTGATAAATTAACAAGCTCCAGAATGATTGGTATTCAGGCCCTCGTAAGACTACAGCCAATTATTGAATTAATTGTAGCATACCTTACATATTCGCCCTGACTATATATACAATTAGACCATATCTTCTAGAATAAACCGACTTTTTACATTTTATGCATGGATGTGGTTGAAAGTTGCGGTTACCTAAACCAACTCTACATATTTAATCCGATTAGAGGTTTCCTAGGTTAAAACTTGGCAATACTTACAATTATCGATAACCATTAGTAGAATCTATATTTGTATTAGTTGAATAATTCTAAAAAGGGGACTCGATGAGAGTACTTTAGAAATTTTTTATTAAAGGTTCAAAAATTGGTTAATGTGTTAAGGCAACAACCATCAATGAGTTGTTCATCGAACATGATGCCACAAATGAAGAAAAAAATTGATTAAAAAAACCTTTGGGGTGAAAGTATGTATTCTTTTAAAATATCTCTCAATCCTGACTAGTGTTGTTAAACGGAACCCAATATTATAGTCATAAAATATTATGCAAGCCTGAAGATTAATTCATAGATGGAAAAAAGGTTTGGATATTAATATACTTTGCCACGAACAGCTCATGGACAGCTCAGTTAGTGAATGATTTAATAAGATTTATTTTACTTTCATTATTAATTTAACAAAATTTCGAGGGGAGTTGAATTTAAAAAATGATATTTACGATTTCGATTTATTTAGAACAAGGCTAAATATATTAGATGGCGCCATCACCAGATGCTATATATTTATGTCTAAGTTTTAAAAAAAAATTTTATAGAATGTATTAAAATATGTATTCCCAAGCCAAAAATGAGAACAAATGGTCTCCTCGTATATTTTCCTCAGATGGAATTATATGTTCCCTAAATTTGAAAGAAGTTCTATACCGATAAGACTGTTCAATAAATGTTGCATACATGAGAAATTTTTTAAAAATGTCTTAAAGTCATTTTAAAATCTAGTTAAAATCTAGTTTACACAGTACGGCGTATGGTGGATGATTTTCAATATATATATGCATAAAAAGTGGGCAGCTATTTGGTATCCTCCTATACTACCAAAGCCTAGTTAATTAAAAATAAAATTTTTGACAAATATACCATTTTTAAAAATCATTGTTTCAACGTTTTAGATATGACAAGAAAAATATAATACAGTTAAAACCTGTCTAATTAATTTGGGCATAGTTGTGGTGACCAAGATTTATGCTCAACTTAGCAAGGCATTTTTATTGATACCAAAAATTTTGGTCAAATTAGGGAGTTGCCTGAATTATCAGGAACCCAAATTAAGCAAGTTATCATAGTAATATTTTATTGTAAAATAACATGTATTTTGAAAAATACTTGATAATTCGAACCACATTTTTTAATTCCACAACAAAAAATTTCTTTAATGCAACAAAGGAATTAACATGTATACCCCTTTATAGTGATAAGTTCTTAGCCTTTTCAAACGAATATATAATTTATGTATTTTTTAAAGATTATCGCCAAACATATTTAAATATAAAAATTATGTTGGCTCAAGCTTTCGGTCCGGACCGTTATTAAAAATTAAATATTTTCTAAAATTCATAATAAAAATTTTTTTAATTACTAATAAACATCTTTTATTACTATTTTCAAAATGAAATCGAAGTCGATCAAATATTTTATAATAAATAAAGTTTCAAAATTTTTACAAATTTTAACGAAATTGTAGGTTAAAGTTAATTTTTGAAATTTTCTGTAATTATATTTTGGAAATGAGTTTTGAAAGTTTGTATATTTATTTTTTTGTCGTTTTGTACACAGCCTGATTAACCTCTCCTTATCTGCTATAAATAAATATAAAATGTTCTGCTATTAATTTGATTATTTTATGAAAAGTAGTCATTTAATATAGCTGTAGAAAGTAAAACATATACTTTAACCCTTTGAGGGGTAAGATACCTTTGGGAAACCAGCATTTTAAAATCATATTTCTGCCACTAGCGATGGCTAATTCATCTGAAACAACAAAAATATTAAAATTAAATACATTTAATCATTCCAACATTTATTAATTTTAAATTTACTACAATTAAAATTTAAATAAAGATAAGATTTAATATTTTTTAAAGCTATAAAATTATTAATTTTGATGAACAAAACATATTTAATAAGATGGAGGTAAAATCAATGCAACGTTCCTTTTATTTAATCCTTTTTTAAATTGCGACACCTCTGATAGGCTGTGAGAGGTAGTATCAATACTTTTTTTGAAAAATATTTTTGAAAAATTTAAATTAAATTTTATTTATATACTAAATAAAAATAAAACTTTTCAGTGAAGATAAAACATTTCATAGTTCCTTATTTTAGTTCCACTCTAAATGCCCTTTTTCCGCTGAATATGGCAGCATTTATAGTAAGCGCGAAAATAGATACATATGGTTATCCATAACGATGAGAGATATCACGCTGTTTTTGCGCTTACTATATAAGTGCAACCAAGTTAATTTTATCCATTCAAAATTTTGGGTTATTATTAGTATAGTTTATTTTTAAATTTAATTTCAATAATTTTTTTATATATTGAAATTATATATTTTTTTACGCAAAGAAAAATCAATAATTAGTTATGGAGTGCAATATACTATTTCTTTAATAATAATTATAAATTTAAATATTTTAATATTATAAACGCTTCTAGAGGAAACGCATAAATTTAAAGCGTTTAAAAGCGGAGAATGTTAAAGACCAAAGAACGTTTTGTATATTATAAAAATTTATAAATTTTTTTTAGTAATAATTTTAGTTTTGTATTAATTAAAATTTATTTATTTTAAATAAATATTACACAAAAATCATCGATTGATTTTATATGATAAACCAACTTAATATTTAAGCATTGGTATTATTATCAACATAACACTAGACTCGGCCTATTCAAAACGAATAGAATCATAACGAATAGTAAATTATTTGTTTTGTTTAAATATTAATAAAGATTTATTTGATTGAACGATGGAATATTTGAAATTTGAATAACTTGTTCTATTCAAATCGAATTATCAGAATAATTCAATAGAATATTCGAATTATTTGGAATAATTAATAAATGTTATTTAATAAAATGTAATTATGTCATAGGGATGGCAAAAACAAATTTTTTTATATTTAAATCAAATTTTATAATTTAATAAAAATAATTTTAATAAATAAGCCCCCCGCCCGAGAGTGGTAAGAAAATAGTTTCCTGTTCGGTGTTAAACTAGCAGTATTGAAATGGCTACAAGTAATTTACCATAATATTATCAATATTTAATATATTCCTATTTGTGATTAATTAATTAATACATTCTGAATGTAATTTATCATTAACAAATTAAACTACATTGTTAAAATATTTGGTTTTTTAAATTAAATAAATATTTTTTTTACAAAAACTAGATTTGATATTTAAAAAATGCATCTGAATTACTTTTATCATCAACTAGTAGCATCATTTAGGGGGGGGGGGCGCATGAGGACTCGAGCCCTCTAAAAATTTTGATGTAATTTTAAAAAAATAATTTTTGAGTCTGAGATTGTAAAGGCAAAACAAATATAGAATAAATATTTATTAAACTGGAATCTTCTTTTTAAAAATATTAAAATGATTTTCATAGGAGTGTATTACATTTCTACCAAATAAATCTTAAGAATAATGCAATATTATATAATAATATATAATAACAAAATTTAGCAATTAAAACTTATATTATATGCAAAATATAGTAAATAAGGTCTAATAAAATGATTTTATTTGAAAACAAAAACTGGTCATTATAAAAATTTGAAAATGTAAACAAAAAAGATAATTGATTTAAATCACGATTTATCAGGAGGCAAAATAATATAAAGGTTATAATTTGGTTTTAAATAATAAAAAATTTGATTATGTTTTAAAATTATACCTTAACATTTGCAAAAATTGTGAAAAAATGATATTAGAATCAATTTTTTCAAAAAAATATTTCCTTAGGTGTATCATCGTCCATTATTCGAGAAATAGTATGCCTTTTTTTAACCAATTTTCGGATTACAACATTGTGGGAGGATAAATATAATTTTTTTAAATAAATGACAAATGATTTTTGGAGATTTTAAAATTTTCTTATAATAAAGAATTCCATATCAGATATCTTAATGTACTATAACCAGTATCATGACTGGATAAGGGGAAGGGGGCGTAGGGGCTAGCACTGAAAAATTTGAAGAGCCCCTTCAAAATTTTGAAATTTTTTTACCACTAAAAAAAGTAATTTTGATAATGTTAGCTAAAAGAAAAAAAGATGATTATAAAGGGCAAAGTAAATGAAACAATACAACCCCCATAAACCTAAAAAGTGGGATTTAAAATTTTTTTTATTATGTGAAAATGATAATATTATTTATAATTATGAAATGTAAATGGGGAAGATTCTCCAAGCAAAGGTATGCCAGATATTGGGACTTGTGGGAATTCTGTTCTGTGCATGTTTCTCGCAGTCTCGTTGCAACACAACAACATTTAAAGTTATGCTTTGACAATTGATACTCAAGCAAAAACTTACTGGTTATATTAGCGTAAAGGGGATACAATAAGTATTCGTGGTTAGGGAAAATCGCGTCAAAAATGGCGTTTTACAGGAAGATCAAGAATTTTTTAAAAAAGAAAGGGGAAGTTTAGTAATAGGTAGATATAGGTGCAATTTTAATATATAAAAAAGGTAAAACAGGTACAGCACAGAGTTTACCAAATCCAGAAAGACTAATTTGCACATTAGCCTAAGTATGACAAAAAGGTCAGGTGCAAATTACCAGTATGTAAGGGCCTTACAAAAGTAGTGTGCGACAAATGCAGGGTATCATTATGATTTACCCAGTGAATAATTGTTTTACTATAGTTCATAAAAACTGATTTTTTTTAGTATTTGAATATCATTTTTATATATATTTCACCCTTATATGTGAGTTGTGTATTCTAGTAACAACTCCTAAAAACTTTAAAATATTAAAAATATTTGAGGAAAAAAATTATTACCTTCTAAAAAAATGAGTATTATAAATTTTTTGCCTTAATTGGTATAGATTACAATAAAGGGTTAGCTTAAAAAAATGGTAATTTGGAAATATTGAGCCCCCTGAGATTGTAAAGGCTAGTAACACCACTGAAAATAACTTTTAGAACTTCTCATTGCTTTTGAAATTCTTCAGTTTATTTATGTGTTTAGATTACTATTAATATTTAACATGTAATAAAATATTGAGCAAAAAAACAATAAGCTTTAAAAAATTTAAGTGGCAAACTGCCAATTTTATTTATATCTTGTTTCATTAAATTTAAAAAATTTCAATCAAATTACAAATATAGATAAAATAAATTTTATTATATTAATTCATGAAAGATAATTGAAATCTAGTTTTTTTTTACTTCTTTCCATTTAACTTTGATCCACATTCCATGTCTAAAAGCTAATAAATAGAGATTATTTTTTATCTTATTATTAATAATTTTACCATATATTAAACTATTGTTAACTTCTTTGTCCGATTTGTGCAGACGCTAAAGAATATTTCAAGGATAAGAATGAATATATTATTAATCTTACATAATCTTCTAAGAGTTGTTTAATCATTGAAACTAATAATATAAATGTTAGTGGAACAGCTGTTGTGAATCTGCCTGTTGGAGAAACTCCTGGAATTTGCTATATATATATATATATTATATAAATATAATCTCATTTAAAAGTTCATAATAATTACTTGTAAAATAACAATGAATAAAAAGAAGCAATTGGAATATATTTGAAATTGTTCCCATAATGATTTGGGTATAAATGTAAATATATTATACTTTGCAGTGCTTAATTATATTAAACAGTAAAAAATATTAATTATATAATGCAAATATAACTTACATAACTTTATTATCACAATATTTTACCCTTTGCAGACGATTTATAAGTATGTTTCTTTGATCTGAGGTTTCGGTGTTATCCATATTTTCTACTAAAATATTTTGAAAAGTATATTTGAATTAATGAACAGAATAATTATTTGAAAAAAAATTTTAAAATTATGACAGATAAATATCAATTTAAAAATGAAACATACATTCATACTGTTCAATATTTGAATATTGCCTTGAGACACTTTGAATTATTCTCCAAATATTCCACATTATACATTCCTAAAGATGAGAATTTGAAACCCAAACATATGATAGTGTAAAGATTCCTACGGCATATAATAAAAATCCACTGATAAGATAAAGATACTAATGAAAACGCTTTGTAAAAAAATAATTATATTATAATATCAATATAAAATAATTAAGACCGACAATCACAAAAAAAGAAAAAATATATTGCCTAAAAATAGACAAAATATTTATAAATATCCAAATTATATGTCATTGGCTGATTAAGAGGATTGGGACAAAATTAATAAAACTAAGGCGTCACCCTAGCCCGGCCTACAGCTGGGGAGAGTATAGCCTGGGATTCATAAATGGCACGGAATCAGTGAGCCATGAATCACAAATAGTGGTGAGTTACAAAGAGCTATGAATCATAAAGCATGAGATATCAAAGTTTTATAAAATTATAATACAATATAGGCATGGGATAGAGTAGGTAAATTTTAAAAATTATTAATGTATTCCCATATAATAAGTGAGTGTTTATCAATAGCTTATTTATTGTGCAGGAACAATGATAAATATAAATTATAGAAATATTTACTAATATTATTCAAATTGGGAATAAAGACGAATATTGTTCAGGGAACCAATTCTCAAGTTATTTTTATAAGATAGGATTAAAATAAAATATTATTCGGAGAGACCAATTGGCAAACCTTAAAAAAAATAGGATCCTTATTAAAAATATAGAATAATTTAAATAATATAAATATCGTACTATGTATTTTTTGTTTGAAATAAAATTTTAATAATATAAATAGAAAACCAAGTATCGCCTTTTTTATTGATTTATACAAAAAAATTAGTAGGTATAAGTAGCAGTATTGTTAAAAAAGGTAGGATCCTTAAGAATAGATATATAATTTTAATTAAATAAAAAATAAATTGTAATATATATCTTTCGTATTTTAGTCATCATTTACACTTTGGTAATTTTGTCATCATTTATACTTTAGTAATTTAGTCATCATTTACATTTTATTCATTTTTATAATTCAATCAAAATCCACATTTTATTTATCCGTGATCCGTGATATATAGCGCATATGCCCTCTGGCGTTGAATAAACAACAGAGCTACGCTAGGTATTCCTCATTTCCATCTAATTGGAATATAAGTTAATTTGGGAGAAAGTTTAAAAAGATATGAGGAGCCCTCTATACGTTTGCGGGCAAGCCGTACGTACTTGTACGCGCAACATTTCGAAAAAGTTACAGACGTCCATAGGCTTTAAGAAAAAAGAGCGGGGCAAAAAAGAGCCTATGCCCAAGAACTGCAGTATAAGCTAATTACTTTAAAGGTGGGTTGTGGCTGATTTTAAATTTAATTTTTTATAATTAAAGCTGTAAATTCATACTAAAAAAAAAAATTTAAGAGCATACCAATTTCATTTTGGTTTGTCCTGAAGTCCTGAAAAGGTTTGGAAAATACTAATTCATTATAAAAAAAACAAGCCCAGTTAAAATATTTGTCTTTGATTCTGAAAAGCTTCTTTATGGAATTTTTGCAGTTGTTTAACTTTATAAATAGTTTCATGTTTAAGTTTAGTTCCATAATATCTTTTATGGTTTTATAATACCATAAAGATTTATATTTTGTGTATTCTTTCCTATTATAAGTGTTGAGCCATGTAATGGCGTCATGAACTATATTTTGATCTGAGTTCCTTATAATGTGAGCTAGGAATTGAATGTGATGTTTTTTTAATGTAATATGTATTGGAGTGTGTTTTCATATTCTCCTTAAATTATTATTAGATATAGTACTTTAGGGTAAAAGATGCCATTTATAGTTCGTAGGCAGTTATTTATGAATGGTTGTAATCTTATATTTTCTGTTTTATTAATTTCCCATAAATCTCCGCTAAATAATAATATAGGGATTATAATAGATATCAATCGTAATACAAGGAAATCGTGAAAGGATAAGTGATGTCAATAATCTATAAGGAAGTTAACCAACACCTATTAAATTAATCGTAAATATATAAATAATTATATCTAAATGAATATAACACATAATATGTAAATAGAATATTACAATACTCCTTTCCTACATTTCCCCCTATGTTAATTGAGAGATGCCTATATCTCTTCAATCATCCGTTTTGTCGGTTTATGTGTCCGTCCTCGTCTTGGTGTCTTACTCTTTCTTTCGATTACCCGTTCTGCCGTATCTGATGCCACACGGTCCCTTAATTGGTCAGCATGTTTTCGCAGTACACGATCTGACGTCTCGACTACATAGTAATATAATCCCTTCCTATCTTGAATTAACCCTTTTCTCCAACCCTTAGTGGTTTCATTCATTATCCATACATGTTGACCAACGTCAAATTCCTTAACACTAGAATGTGTGCCATGTTCTTGACTTTATTTAACATTGGATTTATAATTCTCATTTCCCACCTATGGTCTAGCCCAATATAGATTAGTTCTTATCTGACGACCGAACATAATCTTAGCTGGTGACTTACCCGTCGAACTCTGTTCTTCCAGCCTATGCGCTGCTATGGTTTGAGTCATCGCCTCTTACGGGTCATTAATTGATTCTCGATTGGCATAATACCTCCCTTTCAAGGTTCTCCGCCTGCCCATTTGTCTTCGGGTGGTACGGCGTTTAGCGAAAGTGACAAATGTTGTTTTCCCATATAATCGCATAAGTTTTGTATAAATTGACGTAATTGATCAACTTTCTTGGGGTTAGGTGCGAACTGGATTGCTTTTACTTTTTTCTCGCTTGGATGTACCTAGACATGTGCGACAACAAACTATCGGTGGCTGGCTCAATTTTCAAAAATCGACGGCCGGCGGCGCGCCGATTTTTAGCCGCCGTCAATAATATCGGCGTAAATCGGCGCAGTTATAAATTTTTATAACATAAATTTTTTTAATTGCTTATTATTTAAAAAAAAAACGAATATACATTACTCTACAGATATCTCGGCATATTTTTTAATATTTATTTAATAGAAAACTCATTATAAATCCAAAATCGATTTCGTTATTTTATAATTATCATGTATAAAAATTATTTCATTTAAATTTTTGGGATAATAATGATCCCCTTGAATTTAACATCAATCCAGCGGTAGAGAAAACTCTTTTACTATAGTCACTGCAAAGAATTTTTTGGCGAGCCTGGAAAGATTGGGAAGTTTACTCTTCTTTTCTCTCATAAAATTTAGAACGTCCATATCTTGTGAATATCTTTTTCAAGAAAACTGTGGCATTCTTGTTCTAAGTCACCTAACTTGAAATCATAATTTATATTTGTTGAATGTTTATTTGCCAATTTTGTTAAATAACTTAAATTTAATCATTCATCTTGATCCTCATAATCTATATTTACTACCTAATTATCATCATTCTCTATAAGATGTTTTATTATAAATTCTGAAGCTGAACAATTTTGCTCTATTAAATACTTTGACACAATTGTCAATTTTTGAAATCTTGGATCTAAAAGAGAAGCCAATATCTAATTAATTTTAAATAAAAAATAAAAGAATATACTTATATATTATTACTTTCAGATTACACACCGAAAATCGTAACGCAAGTTATTTTAGCATATTTTCCTTAAGTGAAATGATTTCAGAACTATCACCATCATTTACAATTAAATTTGTTTCAATTCCACTTCTAAAAAGTAACGCCAAGTTTAAAGTAGGCCCTATACTAATTAAGTTTATTTGACTGGCAATCACTTCATGAAATATATTAATATGATTGATTTGTATCTATGACATTTATATCATTAATAATATATATATATGGCATTTATAACATTGATAATATATAATATAAATCTCATTTATAACATATCCCCACACATATGATCTTACAATTCCTCAATAAGCCGATTTGTAGGTTTCCTGGCTCTTTGTGATTTCCGCGTTTCTAGTTTTCCGTTATCTTCCACATTTTCTAAAATCTCAACTATATCCGACTCTTTATTTTTTATATTTTCCTCTTCTCTCTCTGACTCCATATTTTCTCCATTATCTTCCCCTGGCCCAGACTTCTCCATTTCTTTAGCTACCTCCCTTTTTCGAAGTTGATCCGCATGCTTTCGTACCATTCTATCCTTGCTTTCTACCAAATAAGAATATCTGCCAGTTCTGGATTTTATAATTCCTTCTCTCCAACCTGAATTTATTTCATTATGCACCCATACCGGTTGTGCAATCTCAAATTCTCTCATATGACTATGTTCATCATGCGCTACTTTTTGTCTTATATTCGATCGTTCCATTTCATAACTAACATTAGGACGTAACCAATTCAATCCCGTTTTCAAATTTCGCCCCAATAATAACTTAGCCGGTGAACGTCCAGTTGATTGATGCTCATCCATTTTATATGCTAGCAAAACTTCTCCCATGGCTTCCTCGGGCTCCCTGATGTCTTTCCTAGTTGCAAAATATCGACTCTTGAGGGTTCGTATCGTTCTTTCCGCTAAACCGTTCGTTTTTGGATGGTACGGTGTTGTATGTATCAATTTAATATTTTTCTCGAAACAAAATTTTCGTAATTCTCCAGAAATAAATTGAGGTCCATTATCTGATACGATTTGTCTAGGTGTTCCAAACTGTGCGAACCATTTCCTTAAAACCCTGATCATTGTCGTGGACGTGGTCTCTCTCATTAACTCAACCTCAGCCCATTTAGTATGTGCATCAACTCCAACTAACCCTGAATACGAATCAATAGGCCCCGCGAAATCCAAATGAATTCGTTCCCATGGTATATTAGATATGTTCCACAAATATAAAGGAACCTCCATAATATTCGACCGATTACTTTGACAAGGCATACATTGACGAACATTTTGTTCAATATCTTTATCGCAATTCGGCCACCAGCAATACATTCTAAAAATTGATTTCATAGCATTTATTCCTGGATGCCCTCTGTGTATAATCGTTAAAATTGATTTCCTCAAAATGGTTGGAATTACCAACCTCCCATTCCATTCAATAACATCATGATCTACTGACAATTCCTCTCTACGATTATAAAAACAAACTAACTCTGTATTTTTTTTCGCATCAAAATCCACCCATCCATGCTCAATATTTTTAACTACTTTTTTAAACAAGCTATCATTCCTTGTTTCCT